CTGTTTGGGATTTTTTTAAGGTCTCTTCTTCCTGCTGTGTTTCAGCTGAGGTTCTGCCCACTCTTTGGTAGATTTGGGTTTGGTTTTTTGGTTTAAATTTGAAACCCTTGTATCATTGGCATCCCCATACTGATCTCTCTGATGGTTCTACTGTGCTTATAAAGGTATTGGTACAACACCTCACAGACATCAGAGCCTGAGCAAACACCTTTCTTTTAACAATATTTTACTTTAAAATAAATAAATAAATAAAATTCTGCCAGTAAAGGTGTTCTTATCTCTGTATGAGAAGGGCAGGATTTCCTGCAAGAGCCTTAAGGCCTTTTCCTCAGGTAGTTGTCACACTTGGGCTCTGTGTCACTCCATACTCACTCAGTAATGAAGCTGCAGATCTCCAGAGTCCAAGGAATTGGTTTGACTTCCCACATAACAAAACTTCTCTCCTGGGCCATTTTTCCAGGATTTGAGTGTGTTGCTCTGGCTGTTGAGGATTGAAAAATAACTATTAAAAACATTAAGTAGCTTTTAGGAAGACCTGAGGGTAATACAGTGCTGGAGAAGATGCTAAAGAGGTGTTTGATGTTTGATTTACAGTGGAAATTCCTGAGGAGATCTGATGCCATGGCAGCTTACATGTAGCAGTGTCAGGTGTTTCGTGCATTTATTCAAGAGTCTGCTGAAAACGGGCTTTGTGCTCTGCCAGCTACCAGCAATGTTCAAGGTTCTGACCTCCTTTTCACAGTTTGATCTCACTGGAGCTTAAAAGGAGAGTGGTTTTGTGCTGTGTTAAATGTCAGTGCACCCCTGAGTTTGGAAAGGAGAGGGAGGCAGAGTTTGTGTCTACTCAAACCAGGTTTTGAACACTTAGACAAATTTCCATGGGGAATGTCACAGCTGATCAGAAGACATGGGGTTTGATGCAATAAGAGGGTTTTTGCTTCCCTTGCAGGGGGGAAACCAGACGACATCACCGTCCTCCTTTCCATCGTGGCCGAGTACACAGACTGAGGCGCTGCCCGAGCTCCCCGGGTGTCCCGGCCGGTTTCCTGCTGGCAGGATCAGGATTGTTCCTTCCATCCTTCCTTCCCAGCTGCTCCAGGCTCCCTGAGCCCAGAGCCTGGCTCGAGACACAGCTGAGGCCCTTGCTAAGAACCACTCGTAGTCCACTGGTCTTGGTCTGCCAGCAAGAGATGGAGAAGCTCAAGGTTTGGAGCTTGTCTTTGAGAGCTTAGTCCTTGTCTGGAACAGGGGAGGATCCATCCCACAGCGTTGCTGCGTTGGAGATGTGACTTTCCAAGGAGTAGAATTGGTTGATCACCTTTCAAACTAGATCAATAGGTAACCCTCTGCACGAGGGCATATTACTCTATTTCCTAGGAACGTTCTCTGTTGTTGAGGGTGTGTTACAGACCCAGTTCCATAAAGCATAGTCTTGTTCCAGTGATAGCCGAGGTTTCGTGTTTCTGAGCTCCGGTTTTCAGGAGATTTATAACTGCTGTAAACATTCTGCTCTTGCCATCCATGGTGTCAGCCTTAGGAGCCTTTTCTAGTACGAGATTTCAAACAAACCTAGTTCAAGTTATATGGATGCAAATGTGTTTTGTGATTTCAGGTGCTTAACTGTGATCTTAAAAGTTCTGCAGATCATTCGTCCATAATGGGCCTGGTTCTGGATGTTTTGGCTGTGGATAATTATTATTATTTTTTTAAACAAAAATTCTAGCTCAGTCTCAAACAGCCGAGCTGGCCACAGTTGAGGTCTTTCAGTGTTTGAACCCATCTCAGTGTGGGCTGATGGTAAATGCTACGGTGGGAGATTGCACAAAACAGCTCATCCTCAACTCCGAGCGTCTTCACTTTGGGTAGATAATTCTGTTGTTGATATAAAACATAATTTGTGTTAATAATTGCCACTCTTGCTTGTAGAACAGAATATGCTGCACCAGTTTAAGTCCAGTTGATCCTTTCTGACTCAAACAGGAACCTCTTTGCTTCTGCTGCGGCAGCAGCAGCGAGTACGAAAATGGAAACTTCATGAATAATCAGCAAAGCTTACATTTCATTTGAACTAAAGTTTAGGGGTTTCAGTGATCCTTAATGATGTTTACAGTTATCTAACAGCCACTTTGCAATATGACATTTCCTTTTCAATGACAGTAGCTCACGTTTGTCCCCCCTTTTCCAGCCAGCTTTCCTTTTCCTTTCCTGAGGCTCATACGAAAGCTGAGAGCTGTAAAGATATATATATTTTTGGTCAGTTTTTCATTAACTTTTTTGCTGGTAGAGAAGTATGTAGAAATAAATTAAAGCCATGTTTTTATATATAAAAAGTCGGGTAATGTTGCTGTTTAGGTGAGTGCAGTTAAACTTGGTCAGTAAGGAATCTTACCTGCTCTCAAGAGGAGATTTTTACTACCTGGTTTATTGTATTAAAACTGTTTAAGTTTGAGGTTACCTCAACTTGTTTAAAGAATTTTTGTGGACTTGTACTGTATATTTGCGTAACTATGTCAAGCTTTTATTTAAGGTCATTTAACATGTACCATGTACATGTCATTTTACTATATTTCAGTGCATCATGCTTGTAACAGGCATTTCATTTATAATAAGTGATTAATTTGGGAGCTCTTCAGTAATTTATCTGCTATTCCTCAATTGGCATAATGTTAGATATCTTCTTTAAATCACCTTGTAATTACTTGTCAAAATGCCTTAACTACCCTAACTTGACCAAAATAGGATTTTGGTGAGGGTATGGGGAGGATTATATTAATGAAGAAAAAAAATTAATTAGTTTTGCGACACACGAACAGTGAGTGGTGGAGAACTTTGCACAACCTGTCAGTCCTTGTTGTTTTTAACCTGAACAAGCTGTCTCTGGCTGTCTTGGAGGAATGTATTCACATGCAGAACAGGGCTTTGTTTCTTGTTCGGGAGGGGCCTTTCTCTCCCGACCCTGGGTGTCTTTACATTTATCCAGTATTTACTCGCACGCTTCTGGATTAGAGCAGATTTGATCAATTCTTCTTTCCCTTTGCCCTTCCCTTCAGGCGACGCCCCCGTGCCCCCGGGCTGTTCTCTGCTCTCAGCACAGTCCCCAGCCCTCCCCGTTCCCCCTTCCCGGCTTTCCAGGCCTTTCCCTGGGGACGTGCGCGGGTCTGAGGGTCTGGAATTCCCGAATTCCTGCTCCCCCGGGGCCGGGCGTGCTCCCTGTCTGTATCCACAAAGCCTCATATCACACCATGACCTGTTGGGTTGTTTTTTTTAAATAAAGAACAAATTTGGGTTTTGATTTACAAATCATGAGTTTTTCCCTCACCGGGCACACCAAAGACCAGTAAAGCTTTTAGCTTTTCCATCTGTTTATAAAGCAATACTGTATTATAAAGAATTGATATTTTTATCACATGCTTGATTGTTTTGGGTTTTTTTTAAGACGTGCACTCTGAACATATCAAACCTGATTTTTTCCTATGAACTTAACGCTGTCTGCGCACAACTGATCTTTGGAGAAGGAAATGACAGGGCCCATCCTATCAAAAATAATTCCCAGCGATGCATGAAGCAGTAACACTTGCTAGGGGTTAGGTTAGTGGGAATGGTCACGACAGGAAGGTACAAGAAAGGTGTTCCCTGAGTTGGAAGCGAGTGGAGCACGGGCTGCCTTGGAGCTGCTGCAGAGGGATGTGGTTTGTTTTGGGAGAGGGATCTGGAGGAACAGGAGGAGCTTTGTGCCCCAGGAACCTGGGATTGCTGCAGCAGCTGCCCTAAGGATTGGGGTGGAACAGGGCTCAGATGTGGTGAATTGGAAAAGCTCTGTGGTTCCTTGCTACTTTCCTGGCTATCTTTGGGAGAGCTGCGACATACAGTCCTAAATGTCCTTTTTCAGGCTGAAAACAAAACCAAACCAAAAAGCAGATTTGGGACCAGGCAGTTACAAGTGAGTCGAGGAGGGGCGATGATCGGGCAGGGATGGGAGGATTTAGTGATGGAATGTCCCTCTCTTGGCAAGGGACCTCCTTTCTCCAGGGGAGGAGCAGCTGCTGTGTGGAGAACCTGACTGTATGCAGTAGTTTCTGACAAAGATAGCTGAAACAATGAAGCAAATCTGAGTCTGTATCTGAGGATGCTTTTTTGTTGCTGTTAAAATGAGACTATCATCTATGCTTACCTAAGAGGCAATTATGTGAATTTCATGTCTGAGGTATAACTTATGCAGGAATAGTTCTGTAAATACATTTAAATAAATTGTAAAGATATTTAATAAATATAGTATTTATACTAAAATGTGCTTTTTAAAGTCAAGTTGCCTGCACACCCTCTGTTTGTTGATGTGGGGATGTGGCTGGTGGCACATGGGCACAGCCAGGGCCGGGGGGCTGGGCTGTCACTGTGACCTCCCTGCACTGCTCTCAGATCCACACCTGAGTGACACCCAATGCCTTCTGCAGCTCTGGCAGAGAGATAACGATCCTTTAATGGACTGGGAATAATTTCAGTGTTGGGTTCCAGTGTGACTTCGGAAATACTGCACTGCCCCTGATGCAGGGAAGGAAAAGAATAATGCAAGTCTGAAACACAAACCTTTATTTTTTAAAATGCAGTTCTGTGACAACTTTGGTTTTTCAGTTAAACGCTGGTTCTGCAGAGTCTCTGTAAAAACCTGAGTTTTCCTGGAGCTGGGCTGGGTTTGGCTGGGACAGAGGGCATGGTTGGGTTATTTTTCCAGCAACCTCAACCAGAACAGCAGCTTCATTTGCTGATGTGGTAACAGATTTTGAATTCAAACTGATCCTCTCTCTAGTGAGAGTGTTCAGAGAGCAGAACCCCCAGAAATTCCTGCAGAACACACAAACCAAATTTGTGCCATTACAAGAGCACTGACAGTTCCAGAACGTTCTGTGCTGCTGGGCCACAGCACCAGTGCCAAAGGTTGGGCCTGCACTGCCCTTCCCTCCCGGGCACTCCCCACTGTCTGTCCTTGGACCCCGACCCCTGCACTACAGAACCTGGGAGCTCTGCAAGGCACCAAACTCCTCCTCAGGGTCACTGGCTGTCACCAAACTCTGGAAGGTGTCACCAATGGCCTCCTTCTCCTTGTAAGAGATCGCTCCAAAGAATAAGGAGTGGAACTGGAAAATGCAATATTTGTACAGGTAAGAATTCTGTGATACAGAATTTGGGCATGAATTATTTGTGTACCTTTTGCCACTTTAAGATTCTTTTTTTTCCCAGTGAAACCCACCTGCCCCCCAGGAGTGTTCCCAGCTGTGCTGGGGTTTTCCAGCTGTGCTGCTGTGACAGCTGATCCCACTGAAACCCCCAATGCATGTGGGGGTGCTCAGCCAAACAGCAGCTGTGGGGTTCCACTGCTGACACCGTGGGGAGTTCCCTCACCTTCTCATAAGGAGCCTCTGTGGCCTCTCCTGCTGCTGCCTTGGCCATGGCTGCTCCTGCTCTGTCTGGCACATCCCTCTCTGTGCCTCTGGGAATGTTTTTTACCTCTTGTTTTGACAAAGCACTTGGAGGTTTTGCCGAGTTTATGCTTGGAGTGTTTCCCTTCTGCTGTGGCTTTTTGGAAGTGGCTGTGTCTGTGTTGCTGGCTCCATCCATGGAGGTCTGGTCAGACTTATCCATGCCAGTCCTCGAGCTGGATTGGACAGAGTAGGGCAGGTTAGTAACTGGCTTTGTGTTTCATTGGAATATCCTTATTTTCTGTTTGTGAAGAGATTACAGCTTTAGAGGAGATTCTCAGCATCTTCCCTCCTGCTGTGCCCAGACTCCATGGAGATGAGAAAGCAGCAACTTGTACAGAATGTTCTCTCTTGTACTCCCTTATTACTGTTGTGCTGCTGAGATGTTCCTGAACCCCTCTAGTTCAGAGTTTTCCTGTGAAAACCTGAGTTTTTCACCCTCTTAAGGCCACCTGCCCCCCTCAGCCCCCATTACCTGTCCCAGGGCCGTGGGCAGCAGGCAGGCTCTGGGGAAGCTGCCTCCTTCTCAGCCTCACACAAGGTAGCCAGGATAAAGCTGGCCTCCAGCAGCAGGTCCTCGATGCTGAAAGCAATGGGTCTAAACACAAGTGTTGAGAACAGCACAGGGAATTACAGATCCTGTGGGAGGTGACACAAATCCTGTGATTCTACCTATGGGATTAGAAAGCATTCCTCTGAAAAGCTGAAAATCTGTATTTGCTGCTGAGGAGTGAGAGCAGGGCTCCTGTTACAGATCTCACTGCTCCAATCAGCAAATGCTGTGCAGTATCAGAGTCAAATGGCAGCATTAAATATGTTAAAATTGTATTTATTCAGAAAACATATTGTTTCTTTAAAGTGCTAAATAAATCATTGCCTGCAGGTGTCCAGGTAATTCATACACAGCGAGCTCATCAGTCAGCACGGCTGCCTTGGCAATGCCCACGCTTTATATGGAATTACAAACTCTGGATTGCAGGTTAGAAACGGCTTTGGTTTGAAATGAAATCTGCTCTAATCTGCAGCCAGAGTTCTCTGGGTGCCTGCAGGGGTCCCAGGCAGGGCAGCTCCCACACGTACTTCCCACATCTGTCGAAGTGGACGGACACAGGAACGCTCGTGGCTTCGGAAAACGCCAGCAGCCCCTGCAGAGAAGGGTGGGGGTGAAGGGTTTGTTAAACCCAGACATCAATATTGGAATGTAAGTTTATCCCAGCTGCTGTTTACTGGCAAACACAGGGGGAAAATGCTGCTTCTGAGAATAATTTCTGTCCTTCCCTGCCAGAGCTTTGCCAGAGGTTCTGCATGGAGAACTTCCCTGGTCACGATGGGGCAGCTGTGCTGTGTCTGCCCCACACAGAAACCACATCTGTGTTTCAGAAGGGTTTTGTTTGCCTTTCAAAGGCTCTGAGGATCCTGGGGTTTAAAGCTAATCCTCAACCAGGTGGTGAAACCCTGCTGCTGTCAGGAGGGCTGGTGGGAGACAGCCCAGGGCTATTCCACAGGAACCATCCTGTGCTGTCCTGGTACAGTCAGGCAAATTAATGAGAAATGGGTTTTCTTCCCAGATAAATTCTTACTTTACCCTCAATTCTTTAAGGCAAAATGTCACTTCAGAATCTACTCCAACTTGAAAGTAGTCAAATTCCTCTGGACTGAGCTGTATCTCAGTAAGCATTGTCCTTGAAAAGTCTGTTTGAGATAACAACAAAGTCAGGGACTCACAGCAGTGAAGTTTGAACTCAACAAAGCTGTGATTGTAACCCTGAGGTTTTTACATAAGCATTGTTTGAACAAATAACTGTTTTTATAGTGGTTGACAGTAATAAATGTTTAGTTTATATATATATTAGAATTAAGTAAAATCCTCAATTTATTTGCAATACATGGTGTAGATTTGAATGGATTTTAACAGAACCTATTCTATGTTCTGCTGTGTGATCTAACCTAACACCTGCTACTGTTCTTGCAGATCTGTTTCTTCCACGGGCATCCATCACAAATATTATTCCCAGCTGTCTATTGTTGCATGGATGGGAAGCCCAAAATGCAGCGTGACTTTAATCAAAATTGCTGACAATCACCAGAGCACAATGGAGCTGGACTGAGGCTCTTTGTTTTAAATCACAATCTTTTCCTGACACAGGAAATTGGCAGTTCAGTCTCAGGTATTCAGTTTGTTGTTACTATGAGATTACCCCGTGGCTGTCAATGGGTGTGTGAAGAGAAAGTGAGAGGGCGTTTTCCTGGCGTGTGACAGTCCCCGGGAGCTCAGAGAAATTCCACAGCAGCTTGAGCTGCTCCCTGGCAAGGCCAGGCTGCCAAGGAAGCGTTCCAGGCTATTCCCACTCTTCCCTGTCTTTGCTCAGGAGCTTTGTTTTATCTCAGAGTTCACACAGGCTCTGTAGCTGTGGCAGGGATGGGCAGAGGGTTTGATTTCTGTGGAAGCCCCAGGGCTTCAAAGGACACGGGAGGTGCTGCAGGCACGGAGATTCTCTGCCTGTCACTGCCCCTCTCCCTCCCCTCACCGGGGTTTTGGTACCTCTTTACATTTGTACCATTTTTTCACTTTCCTTCTTAAAATAGTCCTGGAAAGTGAATGTTTCTAAAGTCGCCCAATGTGTCATTCAAAATGAAATCTCTGTATTTTCGGTAATTTCTGCCCTGCTTCTCTCCAGCCAGTTTCTCCCACTGGATCCTTCTCTCAGCCTGTTCCCAGCCCTGTGCTCCGGGCTCTTCCCGGCTCATTCTCCCCAGCTTTGGTCAGAACAAGTATGAAAAGCATCTCTTTATTGTATGCTACACAAGAACCTCTACTTCAAAACCACAATTACATCTTCAAAATTAGTTTGAGTCACACGCCAAGAATCTCCACTCGTTCTCCAGCTCCTGGAGATGTGACCATGGCAGTAACAGTGCAGGGCTTACTGACACTCTGTGCTGTCCTCAGACGAAAATATACTCTCTAATGATATCAATTCTATAATTGTGGTATTCAGATTTAAATAGTTCTTTTTAAAACATAAAATTATCCCCTTTTTCCTGGCAGTTGCCAGGCTGCTGCTCTTGCAGCACAGTAATTACCTCTTTCAAGCCTACAGCAAGTGGCATAATTTATTTCAATTGGCTGCTCAGTCTGAGATCTGCCACTGACACCAGGAAGATGTTTCAATTTATTTAAATTTATTTAATTTATTAAAACCAGAGGGTGGCAGCATGACTTAAAATCTCTTTCTATAACGTTCTGTTAAAAATGTTGTTCAGCCATAAAATTCATCCCACATCTGTGTCGTGACAGTTATTATTCCTGGAGTTCACCTCAAAAAAAAAAAAAAAAGTTAAAAGCCCAAGTATTGGTTCACATTTTGAATTTCCTTACCAGTGTCTTCCTCAGTGTAACTCTTGAAACAAACTTTCATTGGAGTTACTGACAAGGTTATTTCTTCCTGACTGGTTGGGAAGTGAATCATCACATCAGCCAGCAGCCTATAAAATGTCATTCAACACTAAAATAATTCTGTCTATGACTATTTAGCATTTGTTACATTAGAAAGTAAAACTTGGGAAAAAAAAGTCTGTGTTTGTTACCTGGAGTGGACTTTAAGAATGTTTGGACACATGTGCTTTGCAAAAACAGCCTGCAAGGGATCACACTCTTGAAATGTCAGGTTATAGGTTTTTACAACACCTGAGTGTAAAGGAAATTAACAAAAAATCAGTGTTTGGCTGGAATTTTAGAGTTTTTCAAAAGTATTAATTGTTCAACATAAGAAGTTACCAAGTGACTTAGCCCAGCTCTATGGGAATAACTCACCACAAAGAGGAAATGGAATCCACCTGCCATCTCCCCATCCTCTTTGCTGTGCCTGGACAGCATCCGAGATTTTTAAGGATCCACAAGAAATAAATGAACAGCAACAAGTGCAACAAATGCAGGGTGGGAAACTAATTTTAATCAGTAATTAACAGGTAAAATAATAAAAATGGGAGTGGAATGCAGAACACAAACCCTACAGATCTCTGCCTTTCTGGGTAAGGATGTGCTAAGGGAGCTCAGTTGTCTGCAGAACTAATTCAATGTATTATCCTAAAAGCTGTTGTGGTTTTTAACTCCCCTGTGACCTTACCATGCCTGCAGAGGAGCTGGAAGGTGATGTGGTGCTCACTGGGGTTGGTGGAGATGCTGCATTTCTCTACATTCCTTTCCAGCACATTCACACATCTAAACACAGGGAGAACTGACTGGAAAAAAAAAAAAATCAGTGCAGAGGTTACTCCCTGAGCAGCTTTGCAATAAATGTAATTTCCCTGGGTTTGTAGCCTGGTTTATCTCAAGCTGCTCTGGGGACACTGGGAGAGCCCAGGCTGATCCTCACCCACTAAAATTTCAGCTGGGAATTGGGTTAATTTGCTGCTGTGTGTAACAACTCGCTAAAATGTACCTTAATTATCAATTTACAGGGGAGGGATAACTGCTTCTCCTTCTGACATGGCTGGGACACAGCTGTCCAGCAGTAATGTTGGAAAAACATGGATGAGAAGAACACACAGGCATATGCTGACCTCGAGGAGTTCACTGATCTTAAGGCAAGCTGGAAATGGAATCACAGAGTCATTAGGGTTGGAAAAGACCTCCAACATCACTGAATCTAAATACTGAAGGAATAGAAGTAAAATAATTTATTAATTCAAAACTTGAACCTTTTAAAAAAAAGCTTCCTCTGGGCTTCAGTGCCACCAGCAAATCTGGAAATATACATCTCAAAATTCTTTCTAAAAATTAAAATATGTATTTTAAATTTTATTTTATTTTTTTATAATAAATAATTGAGCTACCCAAGCACCCAGCTTGTGGTTGGGCATTTGAGGGACATGATCCATACAGCTGAGCAAAGCCACCACTCACACCTCAAAAATTATTCAGGTATAAAACCAAGTCTCTCCACTTGTGATTTTCCATCCTCCAAGTGAGTCAAGGAGAGCTGATCACTTTTAATTAAGAAACCTCTGGAGAAAACACTAATTCTGCTGGAAATGGTGTTGGATTAATTAGAACCATTAATGGATGTGTTCTTCCTGTTGAGTCACAATGGTACAAAACATGTTGTTTTTAGAGGTACAAAATTCAAACCTTGTGACCTGTGACAACAGAACCCTGTGGCATTAATCCGGATATCCTGGACAACAAAAAAATCAAAGGATCTTAGGGCAGAGTAGGAACGAAATCTTCCATGAGGGAATCTGCATAATTACAATCACAGAAAATATGGCATTTGTCCATATTGAAACTGGAGGGAGCTGAGAATGTGATGGACTGAAAGGTACCTGTAAGAAAAAACAATATCCAGTAGTATAAATATTTGGCTTATAATAAAGATTTTTAAGTTAGAATAAATAAAATTCACTTACGCCTTTTTCTACGGGGTCAAACCAAAATTCATCACTAATCCGTGCTATGGCATGGATTGCTTTTCCAAACACTGCCAGGGAAAGAAAACACTGCAATATTCTAAATTAAAATAAAAAGGTGACACTGCACTTTCTCCAGAAAAATTCAAGAGGAAATATTACAAATTTCTTATACATTTGGAAGAAAACTGACGGTTGGAAACTGTTACTTTTTCTTTTTTATTAAAATTTAATTAACCAAACCTTCAATGATTTGAAAAGCTGCCTTTGATGAGGCACCTCGAATGTCGAGTGTCCTTTTGCAGCAGCTGGTGATACCACAAATTAAATCCATCAGACAAAACTCCACCACCGGGGTTAGAAATGACATTTAACAGATGGAAAATCTGAGACGCAACGGGACATCTGGAGAGACGGAATCCTAAAAACACAGCGGGACCCAGCAGAGGGCCCGGGGATTTGCCTGTGGCAGTGGCGGAGCAGCTTTGGGCACAGAATTCTGTAGCCAGGGGGACACACAGGGGGACAATCAACCAGGCCATGGCATCTCCACCTGCCTGTCCCCAAATCCTGCACATCCCAACAACTCCCACGAGCGCATCCCGCCCATCCCTCTGGGATGAGGGAGAGGCGAATCCCCCGCTCCGCTGCCGGGGCTCGTGTTCCTCCCAGGGCCGCCCCGGAGGTGCCGCGTTCCCGGTGTCCCGCACCGATCCCCGCCTGTGCCGGGCTCCCCGGGGCTCCGGTACCTCGGAGCTGGGCGCCCCCGATCACGCATTTCATGGCGGCCCCTCCGTCCCCTCACGGCCGCCCCCCCCCCTCCCCTCACGGCGTGGAGGGCGGGAATGGCCGCGGGGGCGGGGCCTGCGCCGCGCGGGGCCCCGGATGAGGAAGCCTGGAATGGGGAATCGTGGAATTGCGGAATTGCGGAGTTGGGCATTGTCGCGAGTTGCGTGCAGGGATTATCGATCCAATCCTTACCTCTGCAGAGACACCCCAACAATCGCAGCCTGTCCCTGAGAGCGTTGTCCAAACTCTCCTGGAGCTCTGGCAGCCTGGGGGCCGTGACCATTCCCTGGGGATGTGCTCAGCACCCTCTGGGGAAGAACCTTCCCCTGATATCCACCCTAAACCCCCCTGACACAGCTCCAGCCATTGCTGGGTCCTGTCCCTGCTCCCAGAGCACAGATCGGAGCTGCTCCAGCTCAGGGACAGAGCCAGGAAACGCCACTCACCCAGAAAAAGAGAAAGGCCGAGCATGGCACTAATTAGCATGACAAGCAAGAGAATAATTACCAATAGAATACTAATTAATAAGAGAACTATGTAACTTGTAGCTAATGAGCACCAATTCCTTTGTTTCCTAAAATGCATAAATAGTAAAATGTTTTAATAGTTGAGGCGCTTGGTTTGTGGGAGACCACGGAACACCCAGTCTTGCGCAATTCTCAAATAAATAATCAGTGTCTCTCTGTCTCTGTCTCTCATTATCGGCTCCTTCTGGGGCCAACTTTCATTCCACGTGTGTAAAAGCCCAGTGAATGGAACGCGGCACGGTCGCGTTCGGCGCTCTCTTGTCCCTTCGCAGGCGCCGTAGCGGGGGCGGTGCCGGGCGGGTTCCGGGAGGGCCGGAGCGGAGCGGAGCGGGCGCGATGGTGAGAGCGGGGCGAGCCCGCGACCTGCTCGGGACCCCCAGCGGGGACACCCCGGACACACCGGAACCCCCGGCACGGCCACAGGGGCCGGGAGCGACCCGGCCGGGCCGGGGGAGAGCGGGCGGGAGGGCGGTCCCCAGCTGAGGCGAGGCCCCCAGGGGGTGAGGGCCGGGCCGTCACTGCAGGAACCCCGTTTATAATTTGTATTAATTTTATCGTAATCGCATTAATTTTTTAAAAAAAAAATATTATTTAACGCTTCTTTCATAACATCGACAATTCATTAATTATTATTTGCCCGTTCATTTGGCTGTGTTTTCTCTTCTGTTGCTTCCTCTCGTTTAACATTGATCATGTTCCGCCCTGTTTCTCATCCCCTGCAATCAACTCCTTCATTCCAATCAGGCTGGGCACAGAGTAAGTCACTCCTTGGCTCTCGCTAACACCCGTGGTAAGGGCTCGTTCGTGTTGCTCCGTGTCACTGCCTCAGATGAATTTAGGGGCTGCTGGTCAATCCGTGCTCCAGATCACACCCAAATCCCTGGTAAAATCCAGGTGTTTTGTCATTTTTTGCCACTGCTTGAAGCTCTAGATACCTGTGGTGATTAAACAGCCTGCAGTGCTGTTCATTTGGTTTGGTTACTGAGGCTTGCCAAAATTTTCTGTAATGAATGAAATGTGATTTTTTTTGGGGAAATGTGGGGTTTACATTTTGTCAGCTGAGTGCACCCACTGCTGGCCCGGTGGGGTTTGTGAGTGGCAGGATAATTTTATTAAATATCAAATACATAACTGGTACTGCACACTTAAGTCCCTTAGGTAGCAGTAAGGCAATTATTTGTTGCTAATTTTTAATCCAAATCACCCATTTTTTACTTTTCAAAGGCCATAAAAAATGTCTTTTCCCCCTCTCCTGGTTTCACTTTAAATTGGTTACTCGTTGATTAAAAAGCTTTTGTATTATGTAACCAATACTTTCAACCATCTGTCTCTAGATGGCTTTGATGGTGGCACTGAGGTGTTCTTAATATTAAAAAAAACCCAACAAATCCTAAACGAATCAAAAATACTTCCCAAGTTCCCTCTGCCTTTTTGAGGACTGTTAGCTTGAAGGTAACTGCATGGCCTAAAAATCCATGAGGAAAAAAAAAATCTTTAAAAATACAATTTCCTAGCCTAGTTATATATGTTTATAGAAATAAATCTGGGCTGTGTCCTTTACAAACACATTTGAGGGTGTCATTTTAGGAACTGCCTCACTAACATGAAGTGGAAGATAAAAATCTCTTTAATATGGAGCCATTCTTTGATTTCCTAGGGCTGAGTGTCTCCAGATCCAGGGTTTTCCCAGAGCAGTGCCATAACATTCCCTGCTTTATAGAGCTTCTCATGCCCTTTTTGCACAATTAATTTGCCCTGTGTTGCTTGCATTATTGCTTTATTTGCAGATTTAAAGCCTGTGCTCTTAAGCCATGGCCTTGCATCATTTCAGTCCTTAATTTTGAAGCCCCCCACTACATTTTTATTCTGGCATCTGAAACTATAAATGGATAAAAGTGATAACAGGAACACTGTGCAGTGACCTGGATTGGCTTCTCTGCAGTGCCCTGTTTGTATTTTGTTGTTATTTTTTAGCCTTATTCAGTTTTTCAGTGGTTTCTGCAATGAGGACTCTGAACATGCTTCCTCTCCTGGTCAGCCATTAACACATGTTGCAAATTTGCTGCTTTTTAATTTTTTTTTTTTTTTAAATAAGGGGAGAGAAACTTGGATGAAGAGTTTTTTTAAGAGAAATGGCTGCAGCTTAGCCAGGTCTGTGCTTGAAACATGTTAGAGAGAAAAAACAGTGGGACAGTTTATGGTAGCCCCCAAATTTGTATAAAATACATCAGGTAATACAACAATAATGTGTTATCTTGCACTGCTGGCCTTCAGCAACAAGCTACAAATAATTCTGTAGACCTGTGTTTGTAAAGCCCCCTCTGGCAAAGCCCTTTGTTTCCTGTGGTACAGCCAAATTCCATCACCATTCCATCCTTACTTTAGCAGCTTTGGGGTCCAGATGCCAAGCTGTGGCTCTGCAGGGGACACTGCAGTGCTGCCTGTGCCCTAACCCGTGTCTGTCACCCTCTGTCCCCTCGTGCCCGTGAAGTTGGTGCTGGTGCTGGGAGACCTGCACATCCCCCATCGCTGCAACAGCCTCCCGGCCAAGTTCAAAAAGCTGCTGGTGCCCGGCAAGATCCAACACATCCTGTGCACAGGGAACCTCTGCACCAAGGACACCTATGACTACCTCAAGACCCTGGCTGGGGATGTCCATGTTGTCAGAGGGGACTTTGATGAGGTAGTGTCCGTTTTTTTTTGGGGTATCTTTTATGTTTTTTTACATTTGGAGTTGATTCAAGTAAAAGCGGTGAATTGAGTTTCTGAGCTCTGCCCTTCTCGGTGTTGCATAGGGTTGGGTTTAAATCTAAAACTGTCTAATCTGGGTTTGGTTTCTTTTCTTTATTTTTAGAACCTGAATTATCCTGAGCAGAAAGTTGTGACTGTTGGACAGTTCAAAATTGGGCTGATTCACGGCCATCAGGTGATCCCCTGGGGTGACATGGCCAGCCTGGCACTGCTCCAGAGGCAGTTTGATGTGGACATCCTCATTTCAGGACACACACACAAATTTGAGGCATTTGAACACGAAAATAAATTCTATATCAACCCAGGATCAGCTACAGGAGCCTACCATGCCTTAGAGAAGTAAGTGAATATTGGGGGGATTTTTTTTGGGGGGGTAACAAACTCCTGAGGGTTAATATTTCTGATTTAAATGGCAGGAGGAGGATAGAGTTGTATAATTCACACAGCTGTACTTGCTCAATCTCCTGGACTGAAACATGAAATACTCACAACCTCAGATCTCATGTGCTGTTCTTATAGAATTAATTCCCATTTTTCTTGAAGTTATTTCTGCTAAGTAGTGGTGAAACAGTAAGGGGGTTATAGACTCACAATCACTATGAATTTTTTCCTCTCTTTCCAGCAACATCATTCCTTCATTTGTGCTGATGGACATCCAGGCTTCTACAGTAGTTACATATGTCTATCAACTAATTGGAGATGATGTGAAGGTAGAAAGAATTGAGTACAAGAAATCTTAAAAAATGTTTTTGCTTGTCTGGTATTTTTACCATCTCCTGAACTGCAAGTTCCAAAACTTGATTGCTTGTTTACAGCCCTGCACTGTCACTAACAGCTTAACAATGTAACTTCTTGTCATGAATTTAAACAACCTTGTGTTTGCTTTCCTCTGTATGAATTGATTTGTAAAATATTCCATTAAGATAACTGTCTAAATACTGTTCCTTAATGTTGTAATAAACTCCACTTCATAGAAAAGCTGAGCTTGGTGAGGTGGTGTTGGGGAAGAATGCAGCAGTTGTGGTGGTTTGGTGTTCACTTTCTAAGGGATGCTTGTACAGGGCTTGAACAGAGACTGAGTTTCTGTGTTTGCTCCAGAATCCAGTTTATATTTAATTTTCTCAATTTAACATTCTCAACTAAGTTAAGGGAGTAAAATGGCATGATAGACTCTGAAAGGATTACAGTTACCTCATAATTTCACTGTAGAAAGTTTGAGTCTCCCTGTGCTTTCATGAATGATGATCTCATTAAATCTAGAACCAGTGAGGAGAGGCTTTCCTTTATTTGTGGCTCACATCTGACACCCCATTTTTTGTGCACTTCCTGCACAGAGGCTCTCACTGATGCAATCCCATGTGACTCTTCAAGCTGCTGAAGATAAATATGGGTTGTTCAAGAAACAGCTCCTCTGTTCCCACAGCTGCAGGGACCTGGATGTATTTAACAGCTCCCCTTTCTCACAACTGCTGTAACTTTCCAACAAAACAGATTTTTATCTTTTGCCTCCCCCAGCAGAATGTTTAGGATGGGGGGCAGTTTCCTTGGCCTTTGGATTATGACTTTTCCATCAGCTGGAACCCTTATTTCTGTGTCATGAGCTGACTAAATAACTCATTCATATTCAAAATAAACCTGCTTTGCCCTGGACAAAAACATATTTCAGGCTGGTGTCTCAAGATGCTCTGGCTCATTGCAATTCATGAAGTCAGAGCAAAGTTGAAAAGAAAATCTTGGCACGTGATATTCAGAGAATTTATTGACTGGAATATCAATTTACTGAGAAGTTCATAATTAAGAGGTTTATAGAATCCTGTAAAATTGATGCATGAGGGTTTTTTTTATTTATATTGTAAGGGCAAAATTGACACATAAGTTTATTTATTTTTACCCAAAGGCCAAAATTGATACATAAGTTTGTAAAGTTAGACTTACAATTTGTCTACAATGTATTTTACATGAACCACAGCCCCTGCAGTTTTATAGAAGTTTATCAGTGATGACAAGGTTCTGTTGTGGTCCTGACAGCAGGCCTGAACATGGGGAAATACATTAGTAAAGGAAATAAACTTTACTCATTCCCAAAGTTAAAGTGCTGAGTATGAACTGATGACTACAAACAGGAAATTCTGCTGTGAGTCTGAACTGTTTTTGTGGGGTGGAGAATGGAGGAGAAGCAGCCTAGAACAGCTGGAAAAAATGTGGAGGGGTTGTGGACGCTCTTGGGAAAAGCTCTGGGGTTTGAGTCTGATGTTCTCTTGAGCAGTACAAGAGTTCTGAATGCACAGCCCCACCTCCTGCCAGGAGAAGGGAAAAGGGTAAAGCTTGACCTAATTTATGGCACTTCCAGGACACAGGATCCCTCTGATCCATTCAGGTACATCTGGAAGGTGAAAGAACAACGTTAATAAGGCTTAGGAGAATGGGATGGGATCCAGGACCTGGGAAAGGCCTTGGAAATGATGGCACAGATTTGGTTCAGGTACAATGAATTGTTTGGCTTAATGAAGGGATATTTTATTATATACAATACCTGTTACTGAAGAGATCAGTGAAAAGGTGTTTTTGCAAGAAGTTGGGTGAAAGTCTTTAGAGAAAAAGAAGAAAATACTGCAGAAATGGTTTGTTTTACCTGCAGAAGATCAGATGCTGGGACATCTGCCAGAGCAGGGTTTCCACATTTCTCTTGATACTCTTGAATCAGGGCTTTTGCATCATCGAGGCTGTAAGAGGCAAAATTGATCAACTTTGTCAAATGAAGCTCTCTAAAATGCCAACAATTTAGGCAACAGAAGTAAAAATCCAAAGTATGATCCCATAGCTTTGAAGTCAGATGGGCCCTGTCATTTCCCAGTGGAGAAAACAAATCTGCCTTTGACTCAGGGCTGTTATAAAATCAATATATTCTGGAATTTAAATGTTTATTGGTTCCTGTCCCAGTCTGTGTGGGATAAGTGGGAACAGTGCCCTGCAATGCCAGGCTTTGGGCTCTGAGTGTGCCCAGGTGCTGTGAGTTCCCCACAGGTGAGTGGGGCCAATCCAATCCCCTTTGTGATTTAAGTGGAGCACAAAAGGTGCTTTTAATTCTTGAAACTTCGTGGCAAAAACACCCATTCCCAAGTCTTCAGTGTAGGCAGCTCATTTATTTTTTTTCTGGGTGTTCTTATTGCTGAAGCTGTGACTCTGTGATGCCCCTGAGCTGGATTCCCCTAAAGGTAAGGTCAAGATTTTGATTATTTCACTCTGGTTCTTCTGTTTTAACTGCATTTGATGTGCTGCTAGTCCAGGCTTAACAGTTTGTTACTTCATCTTGAATGGCTGTAAAACTCTGTCCTAGTGAGGTAAAATTTATTTCTTAACTCGTCAATGCTTTAGAAATCCTTGGAGACTAAGTGTTAGAAAACCTCCATGACTTCAAACAGAAGAAAATTAAATAAAGTCTAGATTTAATTCCTGCAATTGGTCAGTTACACCTGATTTTTTTACCATTTATTAACTTACCAGTTATTTTTGGCAAAATAATCCACCAGCTCTTTTATTCTGTGGGTGTTTATCAGGTGTTGCTTTAACAGTGGATAATATTTGGTTTTCCAGAACTGTTCATAGAGCTTCTCGTTGATGATACTGTCCAAAACCAAAGAGCTGATCTGTAGATTGAAATTTTAGCAATGAAAAGTATTGATATTTTAGACAAAAGAGATTTTACTTTTGAATGGAAAGAGCTTATAATTTTCATATTGGACCCTATAGAGAATAGGGTGTTTTTTCCATGCTGTGAAATGGCAGATTTTATGAAAACTGAGCCCAGATTCAGAGAGAGAAATGATTTAAACTTGCCCATAGGGAGGCAGCTCAAGACAAGGCAAAAGTGCAATTTCCTAAACCCTTTGGCCTTTTAGCTTCAAGTACTTATTAAAAAAAAAATAAAGGTGGTTCTGCTGCCCTCCAAACAGGGACAGCACTGGGTAAGTACAAGAAGTTTTTCAGTTGCACAACGTAAATAAAAATGCATTTCACAAGTATTTTAGATTTTTTGAACAATATTTTAAGTAAGGCTGGACAAGATCAGAGGAGAGAAAAGAAGGTCCTGTGAACACTTACCTATCAAAAAAGCCTCCAAGTCAAAGGGAAGTGAAGTGAATTTTATTTATTTACCTGGGAAGCAAATGCTACCAGTTCTCCAGTGTCCATGTGTTCATCCAATTGTTGCAGCACAGTTTCTTTCTTACAGGTTGATAACAAACCCTTGTGAAAATAACATTACAAAACATTATTATTCTGTGATTGATTAAAGCAGGAACTCTCCCCTCAGAAAAAATATCTGATTTATCCAGAAATCTTTTGAAATTCTAGGTGCAAACACAGAATTGTCAAGCCAGGGTCTGTGTGCTTGGACTGAAAGTGTTGCTTTTAACTCTCAAGTGGGGTTTTGCTGTAGCTGTCACAGGATTTTTTGACCCATTGGCAGCAGGCTGTCTTACACTTAAACTGTGATTTGGGGAAAACCTTTCTGAGGGGAACTTCAATGACTGGAAGCCTTAAGAATTTAAGGTGTCTTTACTGGTCCCAGTTTGCTGGTGACCAATATGGGAAGAGCCTCTAATGCTTCATCTGGGAGAATAATGCAGAGCAGAAATTAATGGAAACAAATGAGAAAAAGGAAAACGTGAAGGTTCTTGGATGGTGAGGATGTGGCTTTAAGGCAGAAGGTTTCTATCAGAACTTGTGCACATCAAACAACTTTGAAGTCAGGAGCTTCCAACTCAACACCCTTCAGCTGTAGGACTCAGTACTTTTCTTACAATCTGCTCTGGCTTAGGTTTAACTTTTTTTTTTTTTTTTTCCCCCTTGTGTTTTGTGAGTGGGATCCTATAAAACATCCTCAAATTCTCTAAAGGCAAAGTCAGATGACAAACATACTGGGGATGACTGAACTTTTAAAAGAAAAAAGAAGAGGAAGTGTTCACATGATCTCTTTAGAAGCCTTTGAGGGTGGCAGATGTTGAGCATTTATCAGCAGGGATGTGTTGAAAGTTAACTGGAATTCAGCTTTGACCTGCTCTGGTGATCAGGACATGCTTAAGGACATTTCCCCTGCAGAGACAGGACACACCAAACTTCTGATTTACCTGAATTTGCTGCTCTCTCTTCTCAGAGTGAGGAATGACCAAGAGGCACCCCAGGGCAAAAGCTGGGAGGTCCAGCTGGGTGTATTGTTTAGCAATTCCAACAATATCCAGGTCAGCCAGGACAGGACACCTTCAGGAGATCAGGAGGGAAGTTCTCAGCTGTGATTTGTTTAACTGGATGGCTCAGTGCTGTCAGCAAAAGTGCCCTGAGATTTGGAACTCAGGTAGAGCAACACATTTCCACCTCACAGTAATTTCAGAAATGGCCAAGCAAAGTGAAGATTCACTGAATACAAACTCAGGAGGATTTTTTAGCCTGAAAAAACCCCCAATCACACCTCCAGTTTCTCTTTCTAAGCAGTCTGTTTTGAGGGGAATCTTTGGCCACCTGCCCAGAGCAGAGCTTTGGTACAGATGTGTCTGCACAGTAGTGCAGGATCTCCCTCCAGATAATCTTTAGGGTCCCTCCTAACTCAAACCTATTCTACTTCCAAACTAACTTTGGTTCAAGTCAGGCTCTGTGAGCTCTGGTGGGTGGTGAATGAAATAATGAAACAATGTGGTTTTTGCAGTGCAAGTCTGGTTTATGCACAGAATGCTCAGGGACAGTGTTAGCTCAGGACTGTGACCTCACCTGAGCAGGATCACAAAGCCCTCCCGGCACTCCTGCAGCTGCCTGCGACTTGGGGGACACGAGGCTGAGAAAGAAAGAACAAGGTGTAGTAAATCTACAACCCAGTTACTCCAGGGGCAGGACAGGGAGGTACAACCCTACCTGTGAGGAAAGGGGACAGCACCACGCTGCGCCAGGCTGGGCTGAAGCTGGGAATCTGGTGGCAATCAAGATTTTTTTCAAGTTACATTCAAAGCCAAGGGTAACCAAGTGTGTTATAACAAAGACATCCCAACCCATTGCACCTGGAAGAAGCCTGTCAATATTTCTTTTTATTTATCCTGGATGAATTCTTCCCTAACATTGCTTTCCTTAGCTCAGAATCTAAGATTCAGGCATATTCTGACTGATTGTGTCCAATGTTTACTGATAAACTGCACTGTCATAGAAATAATAGGGATTCAAAAAGAATCTTTTCATGGCTCACATACAAACACTCCAAATTCCTGTTAAGTGAAGAAAAAGATGAGGAGCCAGACAATATTTGCTTACCTCCCATAATGAAGGAATCCCAGTAATTGCAACCAAAACTCTTCTTAGATACTGAATCTGGAAAAAAAAATAATCAAGTCCTTTGGTGTTTCTGAGATTTGGCAATAATGTGCAGAACTGCATTTACCTTGTTTGAAACTTAGAGTTTCTCAAGGTGTTCCTTTGACACTTCATGGAAATTTGTTTTGTAGTTTAGTAAATTAAATTATAAAACACACTTCCAAGTACATCTGTTAACTCCTTAGGCTGCAGCAACTTTACATAATGTTTGACAGCCACAAGCAATTAGGATTCTAAATGGCAAAAATCAGGATTTCCATCATCATAAATACATTTTAGGGGTCATGTATATATGTACACACATAAATACATGTATGCACGGTTTGTATATATTTGCACACAAGGATGTGCCTATTATGTTGTAAATTGATAATAATATGAAGAAAGCTTTCAGTTGATTACCATAGGATTTATTCTGAAAGTCTTTTAAAAAATGAAAGTGTAGCAATTTAAGATCAAAATTCAAATTCTTCAAATCTTCACCAGTTCAGTATCTCAGAGCTCAAAGTAACCAGGGTTTATAGTTTCTGTACCTGTCTTGTTCTTTACAAGTCACTGGACAAACCCAGCCTATTTCTCACCTTTTATTTTTTATCCTTATAAATTCCTTACCAAGTTGAAGGCCAGGAGTTTCTGCAGGAGGCCATTCCAGAGCTGGGGATCATAGACTTTGAATTCTAAACTCAGCTCTGTCACCAGTCTCACAGCCTGAAGGGGAACAAGGACATGCTGCATTTTAACAGAAATTCATCATCTACAAACCTTCCCAAGCCACTTCCAAAATTATTGTACACATGAGAGGAACAAAACCTAAACCATCTAAATGTGGGATTTTATTTTCTAATTTTAGGAAGGGTAAAGCTTTTATCTGTCATTTCCAGAGTACATTGAAGAAAAATGTTTAGACAAGCCTGTGCTTTGCAGAGAGGTGTAAATTCACACAGTGTGTAATAAAATTTACAAAGGATTTAAAAATCCTACCCTGGGTTCATGGCTGTGGTTCTTCCATAGCCCTTTGATCATGCCTTCCTTAGGGCTCTTGTGGAATGATTCATAAGTGTATGGAATATTCAAGATCTCAAACTCTGCCAGATAAATGCAGCACTTCAGAAAATACCTGTGCAAATAAACCCCCCCAAAGCAGGAGTTAGGTGATGTTTCTATTTTAATCCAAGCTCAGGATAACACTGCAAAGTGTCCTTTTATTGCTTTAATATGTAAAAAATTCCTCTTACTTGACTTTCTCAATGGGTTTCTTGAAGAGTGATTCCACAGTGTTGGTATCTGCCAGGTAGAGCAAACACCTGAATGCTCTGGTCCTGTGAGCAAAGGTCAGCTGAGTGTCACCAAAGGGCTGAGGGGAAAACAGTCCCAGAGTCACAACAGTTGGCTGAACAGCTAGAAAAGCATCATGCTAGGTGTATATAACCCTTCAGTTTTCTAGATTTCAGACTGTTCATACAGGCAGGAAAAATATTTATGATCTGTAGCATCACATTATATAATTAAGTGTGGAAAAACTGGAGGTTAAGGTTCTGCTGAAACAATTTTATTACTCTGCTTTCATTCCACTCAAAGTGAGCCAATGTCTTACACCAGCTTAAGGCACTCTCAAGAAAATGTTTCATGGAGTTGTTTCAGATAATATCAGCAATAAATTTAGAAACCCCAGAGTTCAAGGGCTGCTCTTGAGAGTTAATAGCAAAATTCAATGAAAATCACAGTTTTAACCCAAAGGTTGGTGAAGGGGGAAAAAATCAGAGCTCATACAAATCACAAACCATCCAAAACACCAACAAGCAAAGGCCAAAAGTTGAAGTTTTTGAAGTTAAGCAGACAACATTTGATTTTAATAAGAGGTAAAAAGCTAAAACAAGAATTTAGCAACTCACAGATGTGTCAGCTGTTGTAATTGCAAAAAGCATTCTTGAACTGTAATCCATTGGGCGAGACTGAAGCAGATAAATAACCCTGCAAAAATGGGTTTGTTTTTAATGCAGGTACAGCTACTGAAATACAACACATCAGCTGTCATTTAAATGTGAATATTTCACTGTCAAAAAGAGAGCAAGGATATGAAAAAGGAGATGAAAACCTCCAAAAAGCTACTCTAAAGCACTTACAGATGTAAGTTATTGTCAATGGCATTTTGTGGTATAAATAAATATTGGATGATTCAAAAGTGATGTGTCAGCAGAAAGTAAAAATAAGAACAGTGAGCTCTGAATCACACACACACTGTTAGGCTTCTTGAAAAAGCCATTTTTTAAGTGGCAAGTTAAAAAAAATTCACCATATTGCAGGTAACACACACACACCTTCGGAGTTCTTCATCCTCCTGTACATCTCCAAAGATTTCTTGGGTTTTCTTTAAAAAGAAAAGAAAATTTCGATGAGTTTTCCACATTGTTTGGATAAATAGCTGGGTCCTATCCCTGCTAAGAGCAGTGTTTGATGAGGTTGATAAAGTTACAACTGCTTTACTCCTTCAGGCTGGCTGCACTAAAGGGAAGCTTTGAATCTCTACAGAGAGAGAAGGAAAAGCATTTCAAATCCTTCTCACCACAGACATTGGTGTGCTATTTTAGCCAAGTATTGAAATCTTCAACAGATTCATGAGTACTACAGGCAATTTGTACAGAATAACCTCAGGGTATTAGAACAAGTGGAGGAAAAAGCCCATATTTTATGTAATTTGTCATTTTCCTTCAAAGCCCCAAGTGCTGACTTACCCCTGGGGATGGTGTGCTTGGACACAGCCATTTGGCCAACAGTTTGTCACAAATTTTATTCATATCCAAGTTGTTAATCTCAGCAATCTCCTTAGCTGCCACATGGATATCTACAGGAAAAGGTGCAGACAATGTAATTTCCAAACCAGAACTGGGTTTTTTTAAAAGAACTTATCTTTGTTCCTTTGGGCCTGGATTGTGGAAAACTCACCTGGATAATCTCTGCCAGCTGGGTTTTGGAATCTCTGGTCTATGCTGTGGTGTTCATACAGTAAAACAATCAGATTTGCTGGTTTCCCAATGGACTTTAGATGCTCCCCACTATTCAAGTTATTTGTTATCAGGACATTTTCTGTTGCTGCTCTCTTATACTGGACATGTAAGTTCCTCTGGAGAACTTCTGCTCTCCCATGGGGCTCATCCTTTAGCAAAACATCACAGTTTTACATAAAAAAGCTTTTTTTATTCAAAAGCAAAAGGAAAATCATCTTTTTACAGACTAGACAGTAGGATCTGCTCTTCAGAGGTGTCCCCACACCTGTACCCACAGGTATTTTTTCTGCAGACACAGAGGATTAACCACATTGCTCTAGCTAGGAAAGGTATTTTGAAAAAAAATTGCAAAGCTGTGTTGTGAAAGAGCCAAATAAAATACACACAAGTAGGTAAAACTAAGAGATTTTGAGGTAAAATGTGGAAGAAAAAAAAAGATTAATATTAGAACTCATGGTTGCTCAAATTTCAGTTTAATTTTAGTTTAATTTTGGCATAGTTCTCTAAGTACAGAAAACTATTTAGGGTTCTTTGTGCCTCAACAACTCCATAGGAAGTTTGAGATTTATAATCAAAGCTGAGATTCTTATTCACCTTTCCCTGTGAAAGGAAACCATGTAAAAACAAGCCTGAGAATCAAGTCAAAGCACATTTTCTTTATATATAACCCTGCCAACAGCTAAAGAATCTTGGACCTGTAAGCAAAAATTAATAATGCTATTGATCAAAGCTGGAACAGATTCCACCTCGTTTTCCTGCAGCAAGAAAATTGCACACAACAGGAGAAAGAACAAATTATTCTTCTCTAAAACTGCTCATTTTTTTGTCCAAGCTCCAAGAACACCAAGCCTGATTTTTTGCAGGAGAATGTTCCAGGACAGAGGGGATTCTTCTGGGGGTCACTTCCTCAAAAGTATTTCCCATATCAGGGTTGGTTATGGTTACACACCCCTGCCCAAAACACCAAAAATTAAAATGCATATTTTGTAATTTTTGTAATAACTTCACAACAATCTGGCAAGCAGTTTCCATTACCTCAGCTGTAGTGCTCTTCAGCCACTTCTCAGCCAGATAGAGACAAAATTTTAGTGCCTGGACATGGTCAGGACCTTTTTAATGATGACAAAAAGAAGGAAGGGAAAGAAGTAAATAAATTTTCATTAATCCTTCCTACACTATACACCATTTTAAAGAATTTTTTAAAAATTAGAAGCTATTTAAACTATTAGGAGAACTTTTGTGTCTAAAGAGAAAAAAATCCAATTATTTATTTGGATTCAGACAGCAGAGAAAGTGATTAAATTGGGCTGAAATATTGGCTCTTGGTGGAAAACTTGTCTGAAGATGGTGTGAACATGGAGAAACTTTTGGCAGGACAACAGGGGCTTGGAGCAACCTGGTCTAGTGGAAGCTGTTCAGGTTTGGGCTGCAAGGACCTTAAAGCCTTTCTATGATTCTACAAAAAGAGGGGGAAAAAGGGATTTGATGGTGAAGCTGTGATATCAGCTGAATGTTTTTTTTAACCTATTGTTCCAAACTGGATGCAGGAGACAAATTCATTTTCATCCTCCAGCTTTGCTGGCTGCTATTCAGGATCAGGGAACAAATGTTTGCTCCCACCCTCACCCTGCTTGTCCCAAACCTGTTCTCCCCCTCTCATTCCTTCCCCATCCCATTTGCAGCTCACCTGTGGGGAATTCCTGGGCAATCTTGTGAGCCATGGCCACAGCCCACTCTGGATTGACTATGGACAGCAAATAGGACTGAAGGGCCTGCACAGTTCTGATGGTTTCCTTGTTAACAATGGTGGTACAGCCACTGCTTCTCATTTCCAATATTTTTGGTTTCAGTTTTTTTTCAAAGACATGTCGAACTGCAGACATGTGGAAGGTGTCCAGGGAAACCTGGAATAATGGTGAAGTAGATTCAGAGTTGTCAGAGCTTCTGCACTGTGGCCAACATCATGCAAAAGAAAGATGGAAGCTTTTTTTTTTTTTTTTTTGGGTGTGGGTGAATAATGTTGAAATCAATTCCTCCAAGCTGTTACTTTACCTTCATTAGTTTGGAAATCAGCAGAAGGGTTGGGAAGGTTTCCTCACTGAGCTCTGCAGCTGAAAAGGAAAAGTTGCCTGTGAGAGTCTCACAATTCACTGTCAGCTTCCTCTGTGAAATTAAACACTTCCAGTTTATTGGTGGATGGGGACCTCCATTGGCAGAGAAAGGATCTGGTCCTAATTATCCCCACTGGGATGTGTGGATACATTTTAGAGGACCTAGGAAAGAATTTGAGGACAAACCCTGCCCTGTCTTTATCATCTTAGCTCTTCCGGGCAGCAATCTGGGAGACAAGAAGTGCTTTCAGAAGCAGTTGGGATGAAAACTGCATTAATGAAGAATTACAGTTAATGTGCAGAATAAAGTGTGGCACTTGGAAGGTCAGAAATAGCAAAGAAAGGGAATTAGAGATCCTGAACTTACATATAATGTTCCAGAAACATTGGGAAGTTCTGAAGAACAGCAGGTGAAAGGGCAGCCTGGTGTGAGCAGCTGGAGACAAGGGAATCATCTGCTCCAAAACATATTGGTGTTCTAGGTCCACTGGTGCAGAAATCCTTGTGTAAGAGTTCAGATGTTTGAGCAGGCTCAAAGCCTAGGGGGAAAAAAAGAAAACAAATAAAATATAAATTGCTGAGAAATTACTAGAAATCACTTTAAGACTATTTTCTGAGGGAGAGATGTGTACATGGAATAATTAATTTAATTTCAACAGTGCTGAATAGCTCCATCAATAAATAGACAAAGCAGAATTGAGGTGACATTAGCAAGGTCACACATCTGCACACACCTGGCTCAGCTGGATGCTGGTGTTCTTCTCATCAGCACTTTGGATCACTTTCAGGACAATTTCCAGAGTTTCATAGTCATAAGGATCCAGCTGTTCAAAATAACCATCTGTTTTAGAAGGTCTTACATGATTTGTCTTATAAAAACATCCAAGTGTGTTGATTTTTTTTCCCAATTTTAATATCAATTACTGTTTCTTCAGTGTTATCTTGATAGAAGCATCATGACATAATTCTCTAAAGTTACTAAATCCTAAAAATAGGCATCAGGATTTTGCAGAAAGACCAAACAGTAAGTGCTGAAAACAAAATAAAACAAACCCCCAAAACCAAAAAAACTCACCCTACAAAAACCCCAACCCTCCAAAATACAAAATCAAACCTCAACCAAACAAAAACATCCCCAACATATTATTTTTAGCCCCCACCAATTTTTAATGTAGAACTTTTTCAGTGTACTTAGAAATGACTTTTTTGTATGATTTTATGGCTGGTTAGTTTTTAAGGCAGGTGGGGATGAAAGACTCCTGCCTCTCTTTTAAGAAAATTAGATATGTGGCTGCAATTTCTTTTGTAGAGAAGCAGAAAACTGAAACTTAACATTTACAAGCTTTAAGAAAACTTGGAAAAAACACAACCTTTTCAGTTTCTGTGGAATTATTCATCTGTCATTCATGCAGCAATTATTAGATGTAAATTCCAGGGATGTGGCAGTGTTGTTTTTATTTTGTAATTTTTTTTATTTTTTTTTTTACCTTGTACAATATTCCACTGAGACTCATGACCAGGTCTTGGGTGCTGTTCAGCAGAGGAATTATTTTTAGTGCTCTAGCCAATAATGTGGAATGAGGTTGCCTCTCACTGCATTCTGCAGAGTCATCTTCAGCATCATTTGTGTTTGAATTCTGGAGCAGAAGGGATTCAATGCAAAGCTGCAGTGCAGCATCACTGTCCAGCATGAAAGTGCTAGGAAAGAACAGAATGTGATTTTTCTCTGTGAGCTTTGGTGTCATTAAGGAGTTTCTTTCCTGATGAATAAATTAATCCAAGAGCAGGATGTATTCTGAATAGCATTTTTTTTTTAAGGAACAGTTTGTATTTTCTATTAAATAGGATTTATTTAAAGCAAAATAGATTTCAGTGGCCATGGTTGTTTTTACAGCAATAGAATCAGTACCTGCAGTAATTCAAGATGAGACCTGTGTCTATTTCTGGGTTTTGTACCAGCACTCTTATGAGTTCTTTCTTCCTTATTGGTGGCTGTCTAAACACAGTCTCAAAAGAAATCTGCAGATAAAAAACACATTCATCATCTCAAGAGAGTCTTTCAGAAAATAACAAGACTAATTCCTTATAAGTAAAACTTTGGCTTCATTTAGTTTCAATCCAGACACTTTCAGAGCAGGAAAAAGCAGTGGATTTGTTCATTATCCCCTGTGCCAAATACTACTTAAGAACTTAAATCTTCTTTTGCAGGCCCCTCAATTATTGCACTTCCATTTCTGATGTTTATTTATGCAGACAATCAGAAAGAAAAATCAAAAATAAACCCCTAAATTTGCTTACATTTGAATGGGAAATCTGTCTAAAAACTCACACACATCTCAGATTATATTACTATTATTAACTGATTAGTTAATAAAACCCTAAAATAAGTAAATAAATAAAAACTTACTCCAAATTTACCAAGCTGGATACCCCATTCTGCATCAACAACCAGTTCCTGGAATTTTCTGTTTTCTTCTGCTTCACCATATTGGTCAGCAAGCTCTGCTCCCACCTTAGCTACTGCCTAGAAGGAAGGGGAAGGGAAGTGAATACAGGTCTAATAAATAATCTGAAAATCAGGAATTCTGAGCTCCTCTAAGTCCTTAGAGGAACTTCAAACAATTCACAAATGATCACACGACTGTGTAAAATGAAAATAAACCTCTGAGAAGGCACCAGGACTACCTCACCTCCTGAGCTGGCAGTTCAAAGCTGCTTTAAAATTTATTTTCTCTAAAATATTTTCCTAACATTATAGAAAGTACTTTTTAGGCATTTTCTCAGAATTTACATTACTCTCCCTCCTCATTTCTTTACTTCCCATCTTCCTTTTATATTTTCATAGATGTATTCACTCATTCCATTCTTGAGAATTAGTGCCAGAGAACACCTTATCCAAAATATAACACAGATCTAAATTATGATGGCACCTGAAATAAATAATTTCAAGCTTTAGAATAAGTCATGATGAGGTTGAAAATCACATTAATATTGACAACAACTTCCCACTGTGGTACAGAGGCAGCTCCTCTCCCAGGGCCCTAAATGAAGGATCTCTTAAACTTTCTTTTTTTGCTGAAGAAACTCAAGGCTTTGGGAATTTACCAAAACTTTTCTGTAATTCTGCCATGAATTGTTGATGATCTCCCACAGCTTATTGAACATCTCTTCCTTGGGCAAAATGGTGCAATAGCCCAGGGCCAGGTTCTGATCAATGACACGAGAGTTGAACACCTGTGGTTTGGGAGGAAAAAATGATGAACTTCAGGAATTTAATTTCTTCAGTAGGTCTTTTTGTATCAAGTGCAACACAGGAAAAGTACTCCATAATTTAGACATGTATGGTGTCTTTAAGTTGGGGAGGAAAAATAATGCATTTCAAGATTTAAAATTTTAAATCTGAATATCCTGAAGCCTGAAAGTGACTTCCCTCAGTCTAAGCTGCCTTAGAAAATGGTAAATTGCACATTTTGCACAGAGCTTCTTAACAACTCCCCCCACCTAGGAAAAAAAAAAATTACCAATCTAAAACAAATCCAGGATTTCAAATGAAATAGAGAATACCTAGAGAGCCTAAAGGATCCCCAAAGGTGAGCCTTTAGTTTAAGGGTTGGGCTCCATGATCTCGAGGGTCTTTTCCAACTGAAACAATTCCAGGTGGCTGCCAGGGAGAGCAGAAGGAAGTGGCTCCAGGGGACTCTTACCTTGTGCAGTAAATTCAGCACTGAGGTCCTGATTACTGAAGTGCTCCTCTCTTTCATTGCTATGAGGAAGCTCCTGGTTTCAGTGAGGAGCAGATCAGTGTCATGTGGCTGTTATGAAGAAAACAGCACCTAATTAAAAATAAATTCTCAATCTTCAACTTCTTGTCATTTACAGTATAGTAGGAGGTGCTATACTAGTTGTATTTTCAGATTTATTTAAGGCCTTACAAAGATTTCTTCTAGATAGAACAAGGATTTCTGTTTTCTGAGTGCTTTTGAATTGAGCAATGTTTCTTGAATATTCTACTTGTGACTTTTCCCATACTAAACAATGGTAAAGCAACATGAAAGAACAGAGTAAACCATTATGAACATCGTTCTAGTCTCTGCAGGAAGGCCAGGAATAAAAGCTCAGTTCTGAACACACTTTGCAAAGAGAGAGGGCCATGAAAAACAGGGAAAAAACCACCAGCTCCTTTCACAAACTGATTCAACATCTGATCAAGTTTGCTTGATAATCAAGCTGCTAATAAAAGATCACAGTGAGACCCTTTCCCCTGCCTCCCAAGTCCTTAGAGAACGACTCTAAACATGCTAAAAGTCACCTTTTCCCTCAGGGCCAGATCGGTGGTGTTTGAAATGCAGTGCTGGAGGCAGGAACCACAGCCCCAGACCGTGAGCTGCAGGGCCAGCTGGAACTGGCTGCACTCCAGCAGGTTCTGCACTGCTGCAGAGAAGGGAGATCCAACGGGCAGCAGGAAGTTGTGTCCTGTGAAATATTTCAAAAACAACCCCAGAAAGTAATTATGAAGCATATTGTTCTTGGAATTAACACCAGAGCAGTTTATCTTTTTTTGCATTGAAGTTATGACTCAGGATTTGTCTTAGTTCCCTTTAAAATCTAAAATTCTCAGGGCTTTTAATTTAATACAGATTCCCATTTTAGTCCAAAACACACAAGTTTTTGGCCAGAAGTTGTCTTCTTGGATAGGCCTTGATGATCTTCACTGACAATGGTAGAACTTCCTCAAGTAAAGGTTTTGAGATGCTCAAAAATCCCACGGTGGAATGGTGGGAATTGTCACCCAACCTGGTGACTTCAGTGCTGAACCAAAAAACCTCTAAAACATGGCTTTAAATGGAACATTTGGGCACCTGTGAAAACCCCTAATGCCTGTGTAGGGTGAATTTAAACCTCGTGTTTTCCAGTGGTCTGCTCAGATTTTCCTTGTGGTGGATCTGCCCTCATGCCCCTGGATTTGGTTGATTTTTTAAGGTCCTTTCCCACCCCAAGCAGTGTGTGATACCTTCCATGAATGCTCTGTGTGCCAGGCTTTGAGACTCCAGGGGGTACAGCTTGTCCTCTGAAAGACAGAAAATGCTTATCAGCAGTGTGCCAGGGACTCAGCAAGTCTGGGAGAACCCTAAAAATACCACAGGACAGGACATAAAATAGAGAGATGTGAATCCCAAGAGCCATTTGCTGCTATTTTTAACTGTGCCTGCTCAGAATTTATTTTCTAGCAGGGAATATCTTTCAGACTCACAAAGGAATCCAACACTCTTCAGTAACTACTTTGTATGTAAATCCCTTGGATGAGACAGTGAACATTAAACTCTGCATCTCTGAAAATAAGAACCAAATCAAAAGTCATCTTTCTATTCTGTACCCTTTGATGGGTATTTCTGTGAGTTTGTCTAACTGAGATTTCTGAGGTGATAATTTCCACACACAAACTGAGTTATTTATATTTCTAGATAAAAATCAGTAAGAAACACAGATTTTATATTGTTTTAATGTTGAAGAGAGCAAGCTTACCACAAATAGGCAGAACAGCAGAAGTGAGTTCATATGCAACTGGAAGAGATGTGTGAGGATCAAGGACTATCCCATCTTCTTTAAAGAAATCATCAGAAGTCCACTCTTCATAAGGATCTTTATCTCCTCCAGAAGATGTTGCCTAAGTAAGAACATTGTCAAAAGTACACACAACAAAAGGCAGAGCTAATGAGTCCACTCACAGGTTTCTGTTTTGGAATACAGGAATAGAACACGATGTTCTATTTGAAAATAGTAATTCTGTTAAATGGTCAGTGGCAATAAATCCATTTCTTACCTGGAGTGGCCACATTTGTCTTTCATGTTGCAGTTGTTTAGTTGTAAAGCCAAAATGTACTCTTATTCAATTTAATGGAGGCTTTCATAAACATTCTTGGCCAAATTTATAAGCAAACATTTTGCAAATGGACAATTTTCTAGAAAAATAACATTTTGTGGATAAACAACTCTGCTCTGCTCCACTCCAGCTGTAAGAGCCCATTCATTTCAAGTAGCCTAAAGCACTGCTTGACCTAAACAGAAAACAAAGCTGCTATTCAAGAATTTGATCATCTTAAAGTTTTACAGAACTCTTGGGAAAGCCTTCACATAATACATTCATTTAAAAACCAAACCCTCCCTGCCATACTTTCAAGTCAGCTCTCTGCCAGTCCTGGCAGGAGCTGTTTGATAAAATCACTATTTTCAGCAGGATTTATTATGCTGAAATGTAAGTGGAGAATGCTGCTTGTGCTTGTCCCACAGCTGCACTGCTTTTAGGACTCTAATCAGTTTATTCTTGAAGCTGAAGAACACACAGATTCTAGGAAATTTTTATTTGTAGATTTTTGTTGTTGTTGTTAGTTTTTTGATTAAAGAGTGCTGGAGAAATGAGAGAGAAAATAATACAGTGAACAGCACAGAAAATACCTCTGCTGTAAATTCATAGTTGTCCATTTGGCACTGTCCATGAATTTCCTTGGCAAGTGAAGTGTATTTACACAGTTCCAGACAATCCAACACTAAATCTGTAAAAATACTGATATTAATAGCAGGAATGGAAGGCTCATCTGTCCTTATTGATAGGAAACAATATTGCAGCACCTATTTTTACAGATGCAGATCTAGAAATTCACTTGGTTTTCAGGTTGATTGAGCACTGAGCTCCAAACATGAACACAAGTATAAAAATGGGAACAGGAATTACCTGGACTGCACAGAGTGGCTGCTTGGCCAGCCAGCTCATGGATCACTGCTGGGAGATCCATCCCATCAGGAGTGATCATTGGAACATCAACTCCCAGCACGTGGCAAAGCCTTTGACACACTGCAAACAGCAGCTTCCCTGTATTTTCATTCCAGCTATTTTCATAGAACTCCCTGTTGAGAAAGAAAAGGATGTTAAAAATAAAAAGCCAGTAGTTCTTAGGGCTTTTACTTAATTCTGTCTTTCCTTTGCTCTACATAATTCAAAAAAGTGGCAGAAATATTTCAGAAAAGCCCATTAAAAGTGCTGATCTTGAAAAGCTCTGCAGTTTTACCTGCATATATTGACAGCCACTTCCACTTTTCCATCATCCAGGGCTCTCAAGGCCAGTTTTTCTCCCAGTTCATGCTTTGAGACTTGCAGGAGCAAAGCCAGTCTGTACAACCTGGATTCGGTGGGAGGGGTTTTGGGCTTGCCACCTTCTGAATTACAATTCACTGCTTGAACATTTCTAGACTTGGGTGCAGATCTGACACGTTCATAAGAGCTTATGTGATCCTCAAGAAGTGCAGATAGCAGTGAAGGGTTCCTGTATTCTTTATCTGAGAGAAAGATAAAATACTCCTGCAACAAAAAAAAAAGTTATGGATTTGTATCCATGTAACTTCCTTTAATTTTTTTTTTACCTACTGTCCTGAGATCTTAATAAATTCTTACAGCACTCTATCATGAACTCTTTGAAGTATTAGCAATTAAGGTTTTAGTGAGAGTATCTAATTTTTGGTGTAAATAGACAACTGAGTTCTAATCGGGAACTTCCCCAGACTAGATTAAATTGCTTCATTAGCCTTAGAATCAATTTGAAGTCAATAATAGAAACAACCTTTGCATGCGTGTCATAAATACAATTAATTTTTAATTTGATAAAAACAATTGAAGTAACTACAGTAAATCAAAAGAGATTTAAAACAAAAATACCCACCTGCAGGGTAGCAAGTGTTTCAAACATCTTTAGGTTTTCTCCACATTCATATTTCTTCACGGGATTGTCTGTTGGAGGACAAAAACAATTACATTTTGATTCCATTTACACAAGGAACATATAAGATGTTGAAGTTGTACCTTTACCTTTTTGAATCCTGAACCAGAATTTAAGGACTTCCACCAGTGTCTTAGTCATAAACATTTGTGGGTTTTGCTGCAGAAAAAGAAGAGATTTGTATATTTTTTTTGTTACAATGTTGCCAGAACAAACTTGGGCTCCAGCTCTTAAAGTACAATGCAATGCTCCACAAACTCCTTAAGCAATAATTACCAAGTCTAAGGTACAACCAGTTGAAAAGCAAAGGAACAGAAAGTTATTTTACATATTCATCTTTTCTAGAAACAGTAAATATTTTATAGATGTAGTATGTGTTTACTCTACAGTCTGTTAGCTCTCACAGGAAATACCCACACCTTTCCCTTTTCCCTTTTCAGAATAACTTGTGTCCCCACTTTGTGGTGTGAAAAGCCTTGGTACCTGTTCAGGATCATCTGCTTTGTCCTGTAACACCAGTCTTCCCCCCAGGGTCAACCTCTCTGCAACTTCCTCAGCCTTAGCAAGAGGCAGAGATTTTAACAAAGACAGAGATTCCTCTACCTGAAGGGAGAAAAAGAAACAAACAAAATTAGAACAGAAATAATAAAAAGGGCATTTGCTTTTGGAAAAGCTGAGTTATATGTCCATTCTTGTTCTGATGTTATGGCTGCACAATGGTCATGAGGATAAGCAAAAACAATACATGAAAATGTGTAGAGACCTCAGTTCCAGCTGGTGTATTGCAGGTCATAACTTTCACCCTATTCTGCCACAAAATCTCTGACAAAGAACTAATTTTCAACGCTAAACATAGGCAGTTAAGTGTCCAATTAATAATTTTAAATTAAAAATACGTGTGCAAACTGCTTATAAGATTTCAATACAACTTGTCCCTGTTTTGTCAAGAGGGCTCAGTGTCTGTAAATTCCAGGATCATTTCCCTACCCTTTCTTTGTCAATCAGATCCATCATCCTCAGGAAGTAGACTTCCCCAGTGGGCAGCATGTAGGCTTCCACAATTTTCAAGGCATCCTCCAGGCAAGTAGGGGTATCTTGTTTGAGAATGTATCTCACAAGCCTCTGTAAGAAGAAAACAGAAATGGAGTTTAGTTTGTTGATGTACAGGATAACAGAGGAATTAGTTTTATAAACACTACCAATGGAATTGTTTGGTTTGCATCAAGCAAGTTACCTGGAAGCCTAAAACTTTTATCTAGAGAAAAGCTAACTGAAGTGTAACTGGGAGAAATTAGCCTAGGAACTCTGAAAATTTGTCTGGTTCCTCAGGATATCAAAGAACTTCTCCAGAAATACTCATGTTTTCTCCTAATGAATGGGAGATGTTAAAAAAAATCAACCCCAATAGTAAAAATAAAAATCACCAAGTGCTGTTCACTGTGACCTTTGGAGAAATCTAAAGTCTTGGTAACTTACCATTATCATCTGCTTGTCCTTTAAAAGATTGGTATCTCTTATCCCATAGGCTCTCAAAAGTTTCTTCATCTCCATGAGTCTGTAACTTTCCTGCAGTAACTTCACTCTGGGTACAAATTCAACCATCATTAATTCTTTTGCTACCCCAGCTGCAGGATTTAATCATCCCACCACATCAGACACAGAGAATTTCCCCAGCCAAGGGTAGCCTGTGGATGCTGCTTACTTGACATGATTCATTTCCAGGTGCTGTTTGACCAGCTGCTCCACTGCTGCACTCCATGGCACCACAGCCCCACACATTATCTGCAGGACTGCATCAAATTTCAGCTGCAAAAGGAACACAAACAGCTCCCTTTTCAAAATAAGTTTCAAAGTAGTCCCTTGAAGTATTGTTCAGGTGTGACTGATCCCTTTAGGCAAGTATTTTCTCTCCTTGCCCAATCTGAACTTGCATAAATGGCATTTATTGTCATCATATGATGTGTCAAGTTGGATTAGAAAATGCCTGCAGTCATTTATGAGACTGTGGTTCCATACATACTAAAACTGGTGAATTTTCCATGTGATGACATCACAACTACAAGTATATCCTCAAAAAACCTCACAGAGGAGATGACTAAAATAGAAGACAACACACTTTTCCCCTCATAGCACTCCTTAAAAATGTACTCAGAGGATTTTGTAAAAATCATGATTTGCTCTGAACTGATGTGTTGGAGTCACTTGATGCCTTTCATAAAACCTACTCACATCTGTGTCAGAGATGATGCCTCTCATAAAACCTACTCACATCTGTGTCAGAGATGCAGCCAATGACAGCCACGGCCTTGGCCTCCCAGGCAGTTTCAAACACTGAACTGGATCGTGTCCGACAGCGCTCCAGCAAATCCTGTGTTTTGATAAAGGTGATTAGAACATGTGAAATCAGAAAAAAATAGGAGTATCTTATAATATGAACAAAAATGTAAAGTTTTCTGGGCATGAAGGGATTGTTACATAACTGGTATAGTAACTATCATTAAGTTCATTGACAGGAATAGGATTAATCTAAAAGCTGGGCCTAAAATTCAGTGGTAAATTCAAATGTTCATCAGATTTGGTTTCTGCTTCCTGATGTTGAAATGGCTTTCTTCAAAAGGAAGAAAATATGGGTACCTTGACATACTGTAGAAGAAGCTCATCTTTTTGTAGGTTGTGTTCACACAGGTAGGGTTTTATAAACTTCTCCAAAATTGATGGGACAAGCTCTGGTGCCAAAATTTTATCGAGCATGCGAAACACAATAGTGGCTGCATTTTCCTGGGCAGCAAGTGGGAAAAGGCCAAGTTAGAAACATCACACATGTCAGTGCAAGGCCATTTACATCTCTGACACATAATCCAGCAGCCACAGGCCACTGAAATCAACTGGAAGATTTCCAGAATCCCTCTTTAGCTTAAATAAACCATTTCATTTACAAAACTTTTCTTGTTCAGTTGTACTTCTAATTTCTCTGTTGCCAATCCTCGTTCCACAGCAGATGATCTGTAATAATCTGCAAACCACGGAGTTTGAGCCATGCCTTCTCACAGTATTTTATGTTATATTTATAATCTGAGTTGAAAAAAAAGTTTCTAACACAATTTAACAAATAGTCTTAGCAATTTATGAATGGAAATTTAACCAACACCCATCAGGATTTCTCTTTTGTCTGACTTTAAATCACATGTTATAAGATTCTTTACAGAGCAATCTGAAAAGCACTTTTTCAAGTGTCTGCAGGGTTACCTTTTCAAAATCACAGAATGCCAGCCTGCAGTTGTATTTTCTGTACAGATTTCTCAATTCTTGTAAATCATTTACCAGCTTCTTTAACCTCTGTATCTCTTCAGAGTCGCCACACCTCTGAAACAGCGTAGAGAAGTGAAATGTTAGGAGACAAGACCATGAAGAGGCTGTCATCAACTCTTTTTAAATCTTTAAACACAAGAAAATTGGAACTTAGTTCTTTTCCTTCATGGAATTAAGTCAATCTTCACCAAACCCACCAGTGACCTAATTGTCATGCACTCCAGCTCCAGGACACAGAATCTCTTTGAAGTCTTAGTAGCAAATTCTTTTATTTGTTTCATTTCTTACCAAAGGAGTCCACTTGCCAAAAGCTGTCACTCCCAGTTCACCTTGATTTTTACTTGTAAAAAAAATCTCTGCCACCTGGAGTCCATTTTCAGGCCAGTTTGCCTGTCCAAAATAATTGATATTAGCAAACTATAATATACATCTAGAAATACAAGATATGCCAAGTTTCTCAGTGTGATTTACCTTGTCAGTTAATTCAAGGTTTCGAGCAGCTTGTTCCAGCCATTTTGCTAATATTTTCTGGAAAAAATACAGTTATAAGTAGAGCTATGCTATCTATCTAAGCAAAATTTGCCATTAGAAACTTCTTTCAAAAGAAATAATTTCAAATATAAACGCTAGGGAAAAGAATCCATTTCAAAGACAAAGCTCCTGACATTCAGAAGTCTGGAGGTGTGACAGAAAAATCATCTTGCTCTGAGAAAATTACAATTTACAGTTCTTAAGACAGTCTCACCTGTCCATCTGGCACAACCATTCTTGAGAAGGGGATCACAAAATTTTTAAGCCACACACAAAGTTCCTTCAAAAGAGCAGGGAAATGGATGGCATTGAGCAAATCCTTCAGCATTTTCTCATCAAAGCTGCTTTCAAAATCTGCCTAAAATATGAAATCAGAACAATTACAGATCCATGGAGTGTATTTTCATCAGGTACTCTGTAAAGCTGTTTCACTAATAAGAAGAGACAGTAAATTTCACAAATACAATGAGAAAATCTCATTAGTCACAGACAGAAATCAAATAAATAGCTCTGTTCAGTAAAACTGGAGCTTGGTCTTCTTAAAAAAAGACCTAATTGTAGGAATTTCTTTACAAATCATACTGTTCTATTGCTTTCAGACTTCTTCTATAGTTCTGTCTTAGTGAGAAAACAACAGATATGGAACTGAAAGTCCTGCACTAAGAAATAAAATAAAAGCACACTCACACTAACTTAAAAGTGTCATTCAGAGTAAGGAGTTTGTGTGATGATTTTTAAAGGATTTTAAGGCAGCAAACATCCACTTAAAAATTCTGAGAGCTGTGCTTGCAAGAAAGTGAATGGAAGATTACAAGCACTGCAGAATAAATCAAATTGCCATGACTTAGAAATATGAATTCTGACATCAGAAATACCAGTTTATTCCCAAATCAATAAGAAGTTCAGCTTCCTAAGCATGCAGGTGAACAGGCAATCATTGTGGTAATTGATGAGATTCTGCCATGGACCTTGGCTTCTCTTGAGGAGCTGTTTTGTAACAGCCCCTGTGAAATTAGGCTGGAAAAGTGAAGAGATTTAAGCCCTTCATAAATCCCAGAGATGTCTGTGCCTCCTCACCTGATGCCTAAGCCAGAGGTACTGTGCACAAGGCAAATTTCCTTCCTCCAGCTGAGAAACAATCATCTTGAACATGTCCTCGTTATTCAGGAATTCTGTCCAAGCAATGCCACTAAAAGTGAGAGGGGGAAGGGAAGTTTTTGTTAAATGTCATTACCAAAGAAATTGGGGGGAGAACTTCAAAACTTTTCTACCTAGTGCTGGAAGTTTTAAGAAACAACAGGAGTGGTACTTTGTACAAAATCACAATCCCTCCTACACATGTTGAACAAAAAAACCCCCAACTATTGAAGTGGATGTGCAACAGATAATTTGTTTTCAACATACAGGATGACTCAACCTCTCTGCATTCTCCTTTCTCCACAACACAGGATGGGAAACTTCAGACAGACAAGAAAGAGCTTGAAGTTTAATGAATTAATATTAAAAAACTAAAATTATTTTAAATTCAGTGGTACAGGCTTAACAATCACAATTTAATTTACTTTAAATCTTAAACACAAACAAACCTGAATTTCTCTAGTCCAAAAGCTTCATAGAATGTTGTAAGCCTTGCCTGAGCTCTCAGCACCTGAATGCAGAGGAGATTTAAGGTTAATATCTGGCTTAACATATTGTTACATTACATGATTCTCTTTGAAGGCCAGTTTACAACAGGACTAAACAAGAAACAAAATGAAATAGCTAAAAGTACTTTAAGAAAGGCTCTGTCTTCAATTTATGGAGCATCTGAAACTGAACCTTTCTGTGACTGAAGGAATGGCTTATTTCTGAATCTGTCATTACTGTGGCTCTCTTTCATACTATAGAATATAATTTTGTTTAGACTTTTTAAAAATTCAGCAGTAGTTTACAGTTATAATTTGAATTTACAGTTTTGAAAACTCTACATTACAATTGTTCAGATGATACTGCAGATCCAAGAAATTTGTCCTCACCTCAGCTATGGACACTGGAGCCCCATCAGATGGTGGAACATTGGTTCTATTGTCTTTCTTCAAGATCTGAAAAAAGGACATGAAAGGGTTTGGCTGATAACTCAGAACATGCCAGGCAGGACTGTGAGTGCAGGAAAGACATGAGGAAAAAGTCAGGACTTGTATAAATTGAGATTTTGCAATGTTAGATTGGATCTAACTAGATCCAGTCTAATCTGGTTGGATTTCTGCATGGATGGAGGATCAGACAGATAATGTGTATCTCTCTGGTTCATTTTGATTAGACTAAAATAAAGAAAACAAAGAAGGTGACCTATTTTGAGCTTCAGTTTGAAAATTAATATTTTAAAGGTACTTAAAAAAACCTGCAACTCAAAACTAAACCCTGCTTTCTGACACAAAAATAAAACTGTGAGCTCTTTTTTGCCCTTGAGCAATACCAAGAACGAGGTTGGAACACGACTTTCTGCTTCTTCATGTTTGATTACATAGGATTTATAATGCCTTTACTTTTGCCTTTTGGAATGACTGTAACTGATTTGTGACCCTCTCAAGTCGTACAGAAGGGTGGAATAGAAGTTGAAAAGTAGATAAATAGAAATAAATAAACCCCTTACTCTGACTTTAGCATAATTCAGCATTTCTCGAGTGGTTTCATACAGTGGCCATGGAGCATTTATGCAGTAATTCACAACAAAATGGTTGTCCTGTTTGCATAAGGAAACAACTGAAATTAATTCCAAGATCCTTTATAATTTGAACTGCTTCAGTAGGGAAAGAGGGTAGAAATAAAGACAAACCTGAATTTTTTGCAAATTTTCTTTGACTTCATTGCCAAGATCCAGCAAGGCTTCCTGGCAGTAATTCCCAAGAGAAGCTGAAGCCAGTTTCTCTAAAATAGTGTTTGCTTTTACTTTGTATACAAGCTGTTTAAAAAAATAATATAAGTAGGGTGAGATGTTTTATCAGGTAACATTCCACTGCCTTGATAATATTTGTAATGTTTTTAATACTTTCCATTGGACTAAAAGGCAAGAACCTTAATTTTAGTTATTAATCTCAAATGTGTTTATCATGAATGAACAACTCACCTCCACATCCAGTCCAAATTGAGTAGCAAAATTCTCTGCTTCAGTGAATTTGTGTTTGTGCAGTAAACGACTTAGTCTGGGATGAAATAAAATAAACCACTTCAATGTAGGTCCAGATATTAAAAATACATATATAATACAATGGTTTTTCATAGAAACCAGTACCTATTTTCTGGCAAGGCTTCAGTTAAACTTCTCATCACAACTATAGAAACTGGGTCTTCAGAGGGCCTGAGGATGAGAGGGAACTATGAGAATTTATCAACTCCATGTGGAAGTAATCTACCATTTTTATATAAAAATGAGCTAGTTACAAATAAAATATTATCTTACATCTGATGGTTTTCACGAATTCCTTCCAAGAAGTATATTGTATCCTGTAGTGTGCAATGACAGAAACCATCAGGTGAAATGAAATAAATTCCAAATAAATCCAGAGCATTTTTCTATGCTGAAAGAACTTTAAAAGCAGCAGGAACAACTGGTAGTGCTATTACATAGTGCAAGAGATCTCAGACTAAATTTAAATTGTTCAGTTTGTTTCATAATAGGATATTTTTCTCTATCCTTTCACTTAATCTTTCTTTGTATGATTCCTGCATAGTTTCTAGTAGAAATTGGTTCTAACCTAACAAGAATAACCCAGTATCCTCTTTAATATTTACACATATTTAGACAACCATATCTCTTCTAAGAACAAAACAAAAAAAAATCATCAAAACCTACTGTCCAAATCCCACTTTGAACAAGGGAAGAAATAAGGGACACTTCCAGAGAATAGAGCTGTTGCATAGTTGGCAATGCAAAAACCATTAGGCTTCTCATCTATTAAAAAAAAAAAAAAAGAAAGGGGGAGAAAACAAAGAAGTCAGAATTACTTTTTTTCTCTTACACTGGTGAGAGAGTGATATTTGCAGAAAAATTTTGGAATTCTTATGGAATTAGAGGGCAGTATTTGTAGGGCTTTTGATGGAATGCAGATCTCCAGTTTGAGGAAGTTTAATGAAGCTTCAGATGTTGCCTTCCCCTCTTTCTTAAGCCTATTATTCAACAGGTTTAATCTAATTTTTCAAATTGTATAATATTTATCCTGGTATTTTATTTCAGTTGACTGCACTGGCTGTACCTGGGGCTAGATGCTGAAGGCAGCAGAAATATTGCTCTAAAGTAATCTGTGAAGGGATGTAAGTCAAGAACAGATTTTGCTGCTCTTCCTTGTCTGTCAACCTTAAAAAACCAAACACATAAACCCCAAACCATCCATAAAAACCCAATCAGGGACAGCTTGGCCTGGTCACCACCACAAGAATCCCAAAACCCTTCACTTGCTAGACCCTGATATGTAGATGGCCACATTTCAGTTTGGGCTTTAAGCTCCTCAGAATTCTCTGTGCCTCAAATATTTTGTCACCTCCATTCCTCTCCCTCTTTTTTTCCCCCATGAGCAATTGCATAATTACAATTAATGACCAGAACACAGATAAGATGATACCTGTTTGTCATCTGGCATTGTCATGACAATCAGTTTCACATTGGCAAGCCCTTGCCTAATGAATGAGAAAGAGAGAAAAGAAAGCAAAATTTGCTGAATGAATCTTAGGTTAAAACTGTGAAATATTTTTGCTTCTGTGTTAAAGAAAAGTTTGTATTCCCTGAAAACAAATGCATTTAAAAATCCCTTTATATTTTAATAGATAGCTCTACAGTTTCTAGCACTTTCTCACACTTAGAACAGTAGTTGCACTTTTTCTCACATTCTGTTTAATCTTAATTTTTAAGGAGGGAATTTCTAACAAGGACATGCTGTTTTGCACCAGCATCTGGGCCAAAATAACGAGATATTTCATAGAAATCACAGCACCAGACAACTTTTCACTTCTTTTCATTTCTCAGGATTGGTGCTGTAACACTTCACTTACCACATGACTTGAGAGGAGTCTGACTCAGTAGTGAGAAGAAATTCTTCAATATGTATTAAAGACCAATCCCAAATTAGAGTGAGAGAATAAATATCCCACGTGCTTAAGATGTTCTAGATTTAAAAAAATCAGACATGATTTCATATTTTCCTCATAGAAGACAGTTTTTGAGCAAAATATTACATTTTGTGGCTTAAATAATGAATAGGAGTAGAATTTTAAAAAAACCAACACAGGAAGATCAAGATGCTCTTGATATAAGTAAATACAAACATATTCATTTTACAGAAACTTCACTTTAAACCTTAAAAAATATGTTTATAAGCTGGTTCAAGAACATTGTAAAGTGAAGATTAAACCAAATCATTACCCATACCTCTGTATCCAAAACAAACAGTTGATTGTCAAGGACTTGAAGTTTTGCAGCACCTAAAAAATATTAATACTCACATAAATTCATTTTCTTTCTTGAGATATGTATCAGAANAACCAAATCATTACCCATACCTCTGTATCCAAAACAAACAGTTGATTGTCAAGGACTTGAAGTTTTGCAGCACCTAGAAAATATTAATAATCACATAAATTAATTTTATTTCTTGAGATATGTATCAGAAGCAAAAACTTATTCAAACACACAAGCAAGTGTTGGAAACCTCGTGGTTTAACTTCATGGAACTTCCTAGGATTGTGCAAATTTTAGCTTGAAGAGAATTGTGATTTATGTAACTAAGTTAAACTGCAATTTTAAAGCCCACATTTTGGCTGTGCCTTTACAAAAATGTTCTGCTTGGTACATGTGAATTTATTAAGAACAATGAAAAACCAAAAATTTGTACATTCTGCAATTAAATACGAAATCTAGACTTGTCTATAAAAAGATAAAACCTTCTTTACCTTGGATCAGACTTGAATCAGCAAAACTCAGAGCAGACACCAGGGCATTGGTGGGGTCCACCTCCCATTTGGAGAGCACATAATCACCTTTACCCTGTGAGGAGAAACAAAGTCAAATGGGATTAGACAGGAGATATTTGTCCACTGATATGTCTGCTTCTACAATTGATCTGGAACTTGGAAAGCTGCAAAACTAAATTTAACTTTATTTCTCTACTGATGTTCAGAAAAATACATTGATTTCTTTATTTTTAATTTAGTATTTTTCACTTCTGCTTTCAAGACCAGCCTTTGTTACAGTGATTGCTACACTCAGCTGTTTTTGGCTCTTTGAAAACAGTATTTCAAAATATCCACTTTCCATTCTCATAGAACATAAAAGCTGAATGAAATTACACTGGGCCTACTGAGGAAAATCCCATTGAATTCAACAGGCTTCAAAAAATAAACTCAGAGAACTAGTTTGAAGTCTCAAATTACATTTCAAAGCATGTCTATATTTTAATTTCTTTATTAGGTCTTGTACTTAATTAATGCTTAAAAGCTTTGTTGAATTAGACCTTGTTATTTTAGCAGGCCTTGCTGAATGAGAACCTGATTGGAAGATTCTTGCCAACTTTGGTTTTGTCTGTGAGCTCAAGGATAGTATCCATAAACAATCCAGCCTGTACAGACCAGGAACTAAGATTTACTAAGCTCAGAAACTCAGGGTGAAAATATTTTCCCCTCATCCATCACAACAAAGTAATTTTGGAAACGACAAGTTACTTCCTTATGAGACAAACTATGGACAGGCTGCACCTTTAAATTTACAGTGAAGGAAATGAAAGGAAAAACAGCACAAAAAGCTGATGAGCTTCTATTTCAAACAGCTGGAGACAAATTTTGTTGCAGATCCAAAAATGCCAACGCTGATCCCATAAACATTGTTATGATCATGTTCTTAGTGCTTACCCCAATTATCAAATGGATTTTGTTCTCTGAGTTGCTGATCACAAAATCCTGACAGCCCAGGCTGTGATGCTCTCCCGTGGCAATGAAAGTTGTCTTTATCTGTCCTTGTAACTTGTGAGTGGGAGAGGAAGGGATGTCAACAAATGGGGAAGAAAAAGAGTTATTTATAGAACCAGTGAATAAAATCTCTGCTCATTTCTAAACGTGCAGAAAAAGTAACAACCACAGCTCTGAGGTGCAACAATGGACAGGTAAACAGTCAATGGAATGTACACAGCAAAGTTTGGTTACAAACTCTGCATTTTTAACAATTTTACCAGTTCTGCAGGTGTTTCTTACTTGCTTTGCTGTAGTCATATCCATCTTCTCAATTGCTAAATATTAAAAAAAAAAATAAAATCAGTGTTAAATAAACTTTTTTCAAAATTTTAAAAAGGCAACAAAGAAAGTTTTTGAGTACAGGTCTCCCTGTTCCCATGGAATCCCAAGGGATCTGTAGCTTATCCTACCTTCCTGTGTTTTACCAAGTGGGACACACATAATGCAGAAGCATCCATTGCTTGTGAGAATGAACAGGTGATAAACACCTAAAAAAACCCAACAGAAATATTTCAAACTGAAGTATTCAAGAGCAAGTAAAGAGAAGATTTGCTTTTAAACAGGGCAGTGACCACAAAAATAATCTGACCAATAGATTAGACTATTTTAAACGAAAATATTGTTTTTTCCAACTAGGAGTACAACACAGGGTTTGGGAGCTTATAGAACAGAATCTTATATAACTTTGCTTTGCTATGTGCACATAAAATTAGCTTTTCTTTATGCTTTTCTGTATTACTTATTTTGTAATCTCTTTCCCTGAGACTTATTAAAGGGGAACAAAATCACAAAAATTTAAAGGAGGAGAAAAAACCCATCCAGTTCTTACCTGCATCTGCATCATCTTCAACAAAAAAGAGATTTAAGTAAGTCTTTTCACTTGTAGATTGTTCAACCAAAATCTAAAATAGAAACAGCATAAAGACTATTATTCTGTATTTCACTTTAAAAAAGATTGAAATACTGATCATCAGTTCAAACTTTATTTTTCTTTTTTCATGAAGGTTCTTGTTTATGCATGCCATTCCTAAATAGATTTTCCTTACTCATTACTCATGGGAACAGAAGTGCCTGTTTCACCTGTTTGGTTAGAATGTGTGGTCAAAAAGACAAGGATGTTGATACTTTGGTATTTGGAAGAATGATTAAAAAAAACCTCAAAAAAGTCCGAGAACAAAACATCTTCAGCAAAATTAAATAGAAAAGTTACTGTACCTTTGTTAGCAAGGTTTGTTTTGATGGGATGTGGATAAGATGTAAACTGCCACTTCTCTCACCAACCACTAGGAATTGTTTGTCTTGACACATACCCACTACATCCACGTTAGTGTCTGAAAAGTTCCATGGCAAAATGTCAGATATTAAGATTTGGGTTTTATAAAGAAATATTAACACGAGAATTGGACAACAAAGTACCTCAGATTTCTTCAAAACAAATTATTTTGACTAAATGAAGTATGGGAAGGAACCTACAGGGAGTGGTTTCAGTATCCATTATTCCCACTTCAGTGAAAAGTTAGAAAACATTCTAATTAAATTGTACTGAAATAGTTAATTGTGTTCAGAAGCCAAAATCACTTTTTATTACTTAGCTACTTGTTATAATGCTTCCCTTTACAGGCCAGTCAGACACTTGCTATGTTTTCCCGTACAAACCTGGCTATTTTAAAAGCCAGTTTTCACTTGCCAAGTGGAATTCCAAAGGAAAGAACTCACCAAACTGAATGTGCATGAGAAGAGACAGCCCAGTGCTGTCCAGAAGTGCCACAGATCTGTCCACAACAACAATGCTGCCATCCCTGGAGCTGCATGCATGGAGCTGGGGGTTCACAGAGACCTGGGAAGTTTTACACAGGAACACTTCAGAAAACACGACGAAGAAGCCCCGGTAATTATTAATACAGACAAAAAGCACAGCTTTGATGGGTTGTACCTTCTCAGAAGATGTGATTTGCAGCAGTGTATCCACCTGGTACAAGGCAGTGCCACACTCGTGTCCCAACCCCACTGGGAGCTGCCCGGTGTCATCGTTCAGCAGGAGCTCGATATCGTTCCACATCTTTGTCCTGGGATAAACATTTCAGGAGCACCTTGTAGAGCAGACAGCTCTAAAACGTTACACGGCTACAGGTAAGTTATTCGTTTTGTTAGTGTGGGGACACTGTGCCACGAAGAATGGCTGTACAAGAAGGCTTGTGGGGATAAACAGCGCATTTGGAACCAAGTGAGCAGTGTGGATCTCGGCGGGGCTGAAGGCAGCTTGCAGGGAACAGATTTCCCCAACTAAATTCACTGCCAGAGTCCTCCTCACCATGCTGTGAACACCCCCTGCTCACAGGGACCCTGATTGCCTGCTCACAGGGACCCCATGCCCTGCCCTCAGGGAACCACTGCCCCTGACAAGGGTGGCCAACCCATGCTCACAGGGACCCTTACCCCTCACTGCGGCCGATGACATTATTTCCAGAGGGACCTCTGCCCATATGGTCTCCCCGACCCCTCACCGGTGACACTCCGGTGCCCTCAGGACCCCCCGATCCCCTCACCGGTGACACTCCGGTGCCCTCGGGGTCCCCCGGCTCCCCTGACCGCGCCCCCTCAGCCGCTCCTGGGTTTCAATTTGGCGGGAGCCGGCACGGGCTCAACGGATCGCGGCGGCGGCCAAACCTCCTCGAACGCGAACGCACCGCCCCGGCCCACAAGGCACCGCGTTCCCCCCCCGCTCCCCCCTCAGCGCCACATCCGGGCACCCGCAGTGAGGGCGGGCGGGGCCGCGCGCGATCGCTGTGGCCGCGCAGCCGAGGGAGGTCGGTCCGTGCGAAGACGTTGCTGAGGGCCGGTGGCCCGGGCGCTCGGTCATGGCGGTAAGCGGCGGTCGCTGCCGGGGATTTGAGGCGGGGGTGGCGGGGAAGGCGCTGGGGGGGGAGCAGAGCCCGGGAGGGCCGGGTCGGGAGCCGTGTGCGCGGAGACACAAAATGGCGCCCGCCGCGCCTTCGGCTGCGGCGCCATGATGGGCTCGGGGAGGAGCGGCCGCGCTGCGCCCACCGCTTCAATCCCCGTCTCCAGAAGTTTCTGTTTCGTTCCTCGGGGCTTGGAGAGAGGAGAAGACTCCCTGGGACTGAGCCCTGGTGGTTCCATGGCTTTGGGGGGAAGCGCTCTGGCCGTACTGGCGTTTCTCATGGCGACTGTGGGGCGAAGCTTCTCCGTGAGGGGAGCGACTTGGTGTCTGTGCCATGTTAATTTTTTGTTTCTCTCGTTTTCTGAGCCCTTTTTCTTTGTGTTTGGTCCCAGGCTTTTTTGCGTTCAATTAATTCGCTCATATCCTTCTTTTTTATGGTTAATAGCGATGGGAAATGGCTTTGCTGTAGTTATCACTGCCCTTCACGTTCAAGCAGGGTCTAAGTGCAGCTTTATTTTCTCTGAAAGAATTCTGTGATCTGGTAACGTATGAAGGTATTTCACCCCTAGCTGGGTTTAAGAGTTAGTAAGAGTTATCAGAGAGTTAACTTGATGTGGTTAATTTTTTCAAAAGTTGGTAAATAGTTTTGATTGTTAAAAAACCCCAGGAAGAAAAAAACTAACAAACAAACAGGGCTTGAAAGTGATAAAATTGTTCAGAGTTGACTTAAAGCATTTTGCAATGTCTAATCTGGTATTTAAAGTTCTTGTCTCGAAAGTTTGACTAGTGGTGAAACAGAACAGGGGGACTGTAAACTTCTGGAGAATTCTTTTTTAATGATTTTTTTTTTCGTTGTTGTTACATAACTTTGATAAGAGCATGATACCTTTTTCTGTAAAAGGACTTTAATTACATACTTTGATTTTTCACTTAGATGAAAGATACTGCTGCTATATTTAGAAGTTCCTCTAAAGTGTAGGTGAGCAGCTTATTCAAGGTAACACCGAGCCTGTGGCCAGTCTGAGAACTGAGAATAATCTCAGTGAATTCTGTCAGGTTTTTAATTGCTGTTCTTCTTTGTAGCGCAGAGATTTCCCTCAGGTGTAGAGCACAGGGGCACTAATGAGCAGCACTGTGTAAATAATGAGATTGGTAGCCTTGGAAAATGTGGCAGTGGGCTCAGTTTCACTTGGCCTAGTGTGTTTTAAATCCCAGTTAATTTACACTCATAGCTGGTATTCTCCTTCTCGAGTAACTTCAAAATGTAAGCAGTAGTAGCTGAAATATAAATCCAAATATTTACCTGTAGCATGTCATGAAGAAAGTCTGCCATTAGCATACAGTGTATTAATGACAATTTGGAATATCTTTTGTGGTTTAAGAAAAAGTAACTGCATTGTCTTCAGAGCAATGGATATGAATGAACATTTGAGAGGTTTTCCCGTGTTTTGTTCAGTTTGCAAACTGTTCTGCCAGTTGCAGCTGGATAACTGCAAGTTCAAGTTCTCTGCTACATTAAATTGTCTTCCTCAATAGCAATTCTGGGCCAAATGATGTCCCGAGTGACATCTTCTGCAGCCCCACGTTGTCCAGAAGGTTTGGACAGAGGAGATCAGAGCAAGAGCAGTGAGCCTGTAAAATCATTAATGAGAGCACATTCACCTTCTCAGTGTGTGCTTTTTCACTCTGTTCTTCTCAGTGCATCGTACACCAGTTGTACTCATTTACCTCTCACACACTCAGTCACAGAATATCTTGATTTCACTAAATCAATTTTTTGATTTAATTCTCCTAGGTGATGCTTTAGGAGTGGAAGGAACATCTTGGTTTTCATTACCAGAAAAAAATGTGATCTTGGGATAGGGGTAGTGACCTGTGTGTGCTCTCATACAAATAAATATTTTTGCAGAGATGCTCTTGAGGTGTTTCCTCATTCCATAGTGACCTGTCTCACTGTCACACCTTACTGCATTTTCCCCTCTGAGTTCATTCCATGCTTCAGAGCACTCTGGGGATCTTGTGCTGTGCCTCAGTAATGCCCAAAGTTGTCAGGTCACTCAGATCTGTTGGGATAGCCTTGGCCTTAAGTTCCTGGTCATGGAAATGCCAAAAAGTGATTGACCTACAAACACCATTTAGAGAAAACTCAGAGTTTAGTGTTACTGATACTCTTAGAAGTACACGGAAAAAGTAAAGAACAGTTTAACAAAGTGAGAGAGCAAAATGTGAACTTTATATCACTTCTCTTTATTAAAATCTTCACAAATCAATCTACATGCTGTTGCACAGTTCACTGCAAGTCTGTAAAGCTGTTGCCCAAGCATGAGGTGAAAAGAGTATTGTCTTTACAAAAAAAAAAAATTAGATATATCTGCAAAGGGAGCACGAGGTAAATTGCTTTTTTTCTTGGTTTTCAGTCCTAAGCTTCTGTTTCTTAAAAATTCTGTCCTCATGTGTAGGGTAGTGATACAGAACGAGATGGAGTAGCCCCAGAAAAATCCTCTCCAGAAAGAGAGAAGAAAAAGGAACAGTCAGATGCCTCCAGTTCTCCCAGAACATCAAAGCATCATTACTCGAGATCACGCTCACGGTCAAGGGAAAGAAGACGAAAGTCAGGTATGGTCTTGGTGGGAGCAAATTGCTTGTAAAGCTGAATTCTCTGAGAAGCAATTTTGACAAAAATAGGCTGACTTAGTTCTAGTAACTTGTTAGAATTGGGAGAAAATGGATCTGCTAACTTTTGGGGTGTATCCTAAATACTGAAACTGCAGAGGGAAAAGGTCTTATCACTGTTGAGGGGATCAGGGACAGGGAGACACGGTCAGACCACAGCAAACAGGAAACTGTCCCATTTTGTTTCCTTTTGATTAGATAAGCATAGACTGGGATACTTTTGCATAGTTACAGCAAGAATAAGGTTATGTGGCAGAAGAACATGATTGGAGTATGGTGTGGGTTAGTTTTTCACTGTTAGTTTTGGAGCTTAAACAAATGCAAAACACTGGGACTAACAGCCAGGGTTTGCTTTCTGCAATAGATATTCAAATAATGCTGTTTGCTTTTTAAATCTTGACTTGAAGGGATGGAATAATTGAAAAGAGCTAGAAAGATTATACCTAGGTGATCTCTTTATCTTGGTAAATGACAGTAAATGTTTTTCTCTCCAGATACTGAAGGAAGAAAACACAGAAGCCGCAGCAGAAGCAAAGAGGTAATTAACACTTTGTAGCGTTTAGGTAATTGTACTTCTTAAAAAGTATCTTGTAGTAATGCACATATGTGTAAACTTTTATAAATGACTTTATGGTAAGTACCAGAAATTGAAAACTTTAAACTTAAAAATGGATATGGAGAGCCTTTCATAGTGAAGCATGATTGCAGCCATCATGTTGACAAGGTAATAGTTTTATAGAAAATGCTTTCAGAAACTAGTAACTTAATTTCTTTCTTTTTTTAAATTTTTTTTTTATTTTTTAAATTTTTGTGGAAACAGCCAAAAGAGAGAGTTCGTGTGGAGAAGTAGAATGGTGTTCTTGATCACTTTTACAGAGCTTCCATTATCCAAAAGCCTTGGGTGGCTTTGTTCCTGGACAGTGTTCAGGACTTTGAATAATACATACCTGTCTACTTAGGTGTGTTAAAAATAATTCCCCACCGGACTGAGCTCTGTTTATTGCATCCTTTAATTGTAAAGGCTGTCATAGCTTGGCAAACAAGCTGAGTCAGCTGGAAATGTGACAGTAGCAGCAAAAATTTCAGAGGGCTGTCTCTTAAGATAAATGAATAAGTGTGAGTGTGAATATACAGGGGAGTGAGAAGAGACAGCATCAATAATGCCTTAAAAATAACTGGCTCACACAGCAGAGAAGAGCTGAAACAAGCAAAGCAGGAGCATCAAAATAGTCATAAAGAAGCTTAAGCCATGTGGGGCAAGAGGCTGGGACAGATAAGACACTTTTTAACTTCAAACCTGGGTCAGGAACTTCTCCTTCCCCCATTCCAATGGAAGCTCTGTTAAAAAAAAAAAAAAAAAAAGAAAGAAAAATCTAGGCGAGTTTTTGTGAAATTGAATAATTTATTGTTTAGCTCACATGATAACATTTCTATAATAAATCATACTCAGCGTGCTAATGCGCGAAGAGACTGAACTGAAGACGCTGCAGACTCAGATAGCAAAATTATAAGCCTACTTCATGATAAGGTAACTATTAGTCATTCAAACTCATATTTCCCTTAAAAATATCTTAAATCCGTTATGGGATATAATGGTGGTTTTATTACTAAGTGTGTGTCTGAAAGATGTGATTAAAAAAAATTTCTAAGACTCTTTTGAATTATTAAAAGAGAAAGTGTTTAAAATCCTGTCCAGTGCTTTGCCAGGCTGTTGGATCTAATCTTACACGATTTATTTAGCAGCTTTTAAGTTTTGCAGAGTGAACAGATGAGAAATGATCTCCCACAGTAGCTGTACTGTTGTCATTCATTTACAAGATAAAGCTCTCTGTAGCCTAAATGCTGAATATCAATAGTTCTTCTTAGTATGTATGTGAGAACAACTACTTACATAAATATATACTTAAAATTAGTGTACAGGTAACCTTAGATGTGACAATTGTTATTTTAAAGGAGCTAAGAATAAAATACTGTGAAACCAGGAAAA